CTTGATCTCCGAACTGGTCCATAATCTATGCGGTGCAAAGTTCTTCACCAAGCTTGACATCTGGTGGGGATACAATAACGTACGGATCAAAGAGGGCAACGAGTGGAAGGCTGCATTCCGTACAAACCGCGGACTGTACAAGCCCTTGGTCATGTTCTTTGGTCTCATGAACTCCCCGGCAACCTTCCAAAACATGATGAATGACATACTCGAGAACTGATCAACGAGGGCCATGTGGTAGTCTATCTTGATAATATACTGATCTTCACAGAGAACTTGGACGAACATTGGCGGATCACGAAACGAGTACTCGAACTGCTCCAAAAACACAAGCTGTACCTGAAACCCGAAAAGTGCGAGTTCGAACGCATGGAAATCGAATATTTGGGTGTGATTATTGGACACAATTCGATGCGGATGGACCCAGTCAAGATCAAGGGCGTGATGGAATGGCCAGAACCAAAGAGCGTCAAACAGGTCCAAGCATTCCTGGGGTTCACCAACTTCTATTGGCGCTTTGTTCGGGGATATGCGGAGGTTGCCACGCCATTGACGCGGCTGACAGGGAAGGCAGGATGGTCATGGGGTACGGATGAGCATGTGGCGTTCGATGGATTGAAGAAGAGAATTGCAGAGGATGCGGTCCTAGCACTGCCGAATGACACCAGCCAATATTGTCTGGAAGCCGATGCTTCGGAAGGGGCAACAGGGTCCGTTTTGAGCCAAAACCAAGATGGCATTTGGCGCCCAATCGCATTTATTTCGCATGCATTGACCGAAACTGAGCGAAATTACGAGATCTATGACAAGGAAATGATTGCAATCATGTTATTGCTCGACGAATGGAGGCAGTTACTACTGGGAGCCATGGAAACGTTCAAGATCTTCACCGATCATCAGAATCTTGAGTATTTCTGGAAGCCACAAAAGCTCAACCGACAACAAGCACGATGGATCACGGAACTGGCAGAGGTTGATTTCACCTTATGACACTGGCCCGGTGCACTCAACCGCAAGGCAGATCTCTTATCTCAACGAGCGGATCACGATCAGGGCAAGAACAACAACAAGGATGTTATGTTGCTGAAACCCGAGTTCTTCCGATCACAAGAAGTCACATTCGAAGGGCAGGACCAACAGCTGATTGATGAGATCAAGGCCATTCAATCGATTGATGGAAGCGTCAAGACGGCCTTGGAGAAGTCACTCGTGGGATGGAAAAAGGAAGATGGACTCATCACGTATCACGGGAAGCTCTATGTACCAAGGGACGAGGAGCTACAGGACAAGATCATTGGGCTACACCACAATACACCCTTGGTCGGACATGCAGGGATCAACCAAACGCAGGAGATGGTGGAAAGGAACTACTGGTGGCCAAGGATGGGGAACCAGATTCGGAAATACATCCAGACGTGCGAGGTGTGCCAATGGACCAAGACCAGAAGAGCAAGGACGGGGACCCTACACCCGCATGCGGTTCCAAATGCGCTGTGGGAAATCATATCGATGGATCAAATCGGACCCTTGCCGGTCAGTATCGGGTATGATGCAATCCATGTGTGGTGTGACACCTTCACCAAAATGATCCATGTCAAACCCATTAGTACTGACATCAGCAGCGAAGGAGTAGCATGGTTGACAAGGGACTGGGTTTTCCGTTACCGCGGAATCCCTTGCAAGATCATCACCGACAGGGACTCACGGTACATCAAGGGCTTCATGAAGGAGACGAATCAGATGTTGGGCATAGAAATGAATCCGGGGACCGCATATCACCCGATCACAGATGGACAAACAGAGCACATGAATCAAGAGATCGAACACTATCTCCGCATCTACGTCAACTACCATCAGACGGACTGGTCGGAATGGCTGGGAATGGCCCAGTTCGCGTATAACAATAAAATGAACACATCTACCAAAATATCACCATTCTACCTGAATCACGGATATCACCCATGGAAGGGAGTGGAGCAGCAGATGGAATCGAGGAACAAGTCGGCAGAGGAATTTGTTAAAAGAATCAAAGAAATACAAGACGAAGCAAAAGCAGCATTGGAAAAAGCAAATAAAAAAATGAAAAAATACTACGATAAACAAAGAAAAGAAGTTCCGGAGTTGAAGGTTGGGATGAAGGTGTACATAGAGGGGGACAATATCAAGATGGACAGGCCTTCGAAGAAGATGAGCGACAAGAGATTGGGACCATACGAGATACTGGAGAAAGTCGGAGCGGCCGCATGGAAGCTGGATTTGCCGGACATGGACCGGAGACACCCGGTGTTCAACGAGTCACTGTTGACACCTTATCACAAACCACCCCCCCACCGCCAAGAGAAGAGACCCGTAGCCAAGATGATCGGAGGAGCAGAAGAGTGGGAAGTTGAGGAAATCGTGAAGGAACGAAAAGTTGGCCGAGGGAAGCAGTACTTGGTCAAATGGAAGGGATGGCTGCATAGCGAGAACACCTGGGAACCATCACGTCACCTTACCCACGTGAAGAAGGTCCTGAGAGATTGGCAGAGGAAACAATCCAACGCAGACACACGCATTCGCCTCCTGCCAATGCTCAAAGCTGGACATTGGGACTATCTCATTCACTGCTACAAACCCAGAGACGAACGCCTCCCATATCCCCAACGACAACTCTTCAACCCTTACAAGAACATCTTCACACCCATTGGTCCAGTCGATGAGGATATCGACCCTAGAGAGGGGGTAATGTCATAATTCAACCCTTTTTCATCTTTTCATCGATGATCTTATCTTATCTTGGCACAGATTATCTTATCATGGATCACGGCACCTGACGGTCTGGGCTAGGGGTCTGAGGGGTCATCCTTATTGATTCAAGGCTGCGCGACATATGCTCCAGAAGGTTCTACTACAACCCATGACCAGTGCTCCATGCGGTACATAGCCTTATGACTCATTAGTTGTAGATATGACTCAGACCGGACTTGGGTATAAATACTGTAGTTACTTGGTTGTATTCTCCAGTCTTCGAATTCACTTCCCTTTTCGACATTATTTCTTGTTGATTGTCACAGTCTCCTGTCAACCCAAGTATTCTCCCCAAACACAATGTCACAGCGGCAAACAAACACTGACTGGGCCAATCCATTGAGACTCTTCACGTTCTTGAGTGTCTTGTGGATTGTATTGTCATGTGTTGCTGCAGGTAGAGTCGATGGAAGCTTGGACACAAGTTTCTTGATGTCCGAAACGAGGCCCTCTAACTCCGAGACTGACAGGTCGTGTGAGTGGGCGCATCAAGAAGCTTCCTAGCTGCCAATCTCACCTTGATTCTTGGCATTTGTGGGGCTGCACAGATGAGCAGGGGGCCTTCAAGCACGTGGGCCAGTGACAAGAAGAGTGAGATCAGGCATATTGCGCTCGTTGCGCGCAGATAAATTTGCCATGAGAGAGAGAAAAAACACAAGCTGTCACAATGCTTTGACAATCTCATATGCATGTGACTAGTTATGGTGAGTTCCACATGTTATGCCTTGCACATCTCAAATACATATGTAACTTTGACATCAAAGATGATATCTGATATAATAGACCGATTGTGCAAAGCCACTGTGGGCCGCGTGGCGGCTTCACGGGCATGTGGAGTTGGCGGCTTTGGGGAATGACATCATATTACCTACTTGTACGATTTGACATGATGTCGGCCTCATTTCCTTCAATTCTCCTCATGCAAAGTTTAATTGCAACCCTGCCTGTCATTCTAGTGGCTCCGAGCACTACAGAAAGTTTACTTGAGTGACAGCTAGTTGCAAATTGCGAGGCCACCGTCCCTCATTCTCGACGTGATGGGAGGTGGAGCTGTCGTGACATGCCGCCGTTGCCGGGTAGCTGTGACTCAATTTTTTGCCAGCTATTCTTGTGAGGTAGGCGCTGGATTCTCATCAGGCATACCCAAGAGGTACTATACATGATGGTAAGACAACTTGGGCAGTTCAAAATTGTTGGAAGAATAGTATTCATTGTAGTAGACGAGAGAAAATGAACTTGCACTGCATGGAACATCAAGCAATTGCACAGCGGGCCCCGCTTGCCCACGGCCCCACCCTCCCGGCAACAGCGGCATGTCACCACAGCGCCACTTCCCATCATGTCGAGAATGCAGGACGGTGGCCTCGCAATTTGCAACTAGCTGGAATACTGGCCATATGTGTCTAATGATGTCATAGAACGCAAGTCCCCGAAGCCGCCAACTCCACATGCCCGTGAAGCCGCCACGCGGCCCACAGCGGCTTTGCACAATCGGTCTAATGGAAATGTCCTACGATGCTCAGATCCAAGCAGCTGTTGGCTATCAAGCTGAGGCTCAAGCCTCGGGCTTAGGGCCTCTGGCATAGGTTTGGAGCAAGCCTGCTCCGGGCCGGCGAGCCGGTCTTGTCGGAGATGTTGTGGCGCCAACATGATCATCATCACGATGATCAGTACAAATAATGATGGTCAGGCTTGATCCGAACCTACCTCTGGCATACCAAGCCCGAGCCCGAGCCGTGATGCGGGCCCGGCCTAGGCTTGTCAAGCCGCGGCCCGGCTTGGCCCGGCCTCAGGGCTCAGACCAGGCCTTTTACATCACTACCCAAGGTTCGACATAAGTGGACTCTGTTTATGGGAGACTGCAAGACGATTGTGATACTGCCGCGTAAAATAATGTTTGCATGGCCGGGACATCGTCACCGCTCCAGATAATCATACGACCAGACTCTAGTGCTCGAGTCGAACGCGTGTCTTGAAGCGCACGAGCCAGAGGAGAAAGGTTCAAAGGATCGGCAATGATGATGATGATGAGCATATGCTTATATAAGGCGTTTCAGTCTTCTGCTCAACTGTCAACAAAAATGTCAATCACCTGCGGCCCCTTACACAGTCAGGTGCTGACCGGGACTTTCACTCTCCGAAAGAAGACCGGTAGGAATGCAAAACACTCATTCGAATCCTCTCCGCAAAGACTGTCTACCGTGCATCATGTCCATGATGTTCTCGTGGTCACTGCCTTGAATGTTTTCTCAACGCCGGTTCAGTCCCGAGGGCTACCTTTACGCTACTCAGGCTTCTCGGCGCCGTGCCTCATGTCGAAAGCGGGCAGCTTGTGCAAAGCTGCGTCTTCTCAATTGACACGAATACCCAAAGCGATGATCTCGGGCGCCATACATCATGTCGACCAAGCTATCTGAGGTCGCCGCGCCTTTGCTTTTGGAAACCGGCAGCCGTATTAAAGCTCTGGATCGCGGAGTCTACGACCACCAGTCCACCTCGACAATGCTCGTTTTCCAGAGTAAGTCTCAGGTCGATTCCACTCGATGCATATGGTTTCTGACTCCAACGCAGCTATCCTCCTCGCACTCACCACCTGGATCGGAGTCCAGGCTCTCGATTTCTCTGCCTCGCAGTGGATCTGGACAACCGATGTTTCAGGCGGCGTGGCTCCCGTTGGCTCCCGTGCGTTCCGCAAAGACTTTGTTGCGCCCGCTGGCAAGACGCCGCTGGAGGCAGACATCATCATCACGGCCGACAACTCGTTCAGCTTATATGTAAACAACGACCTCGTTGGATCGAGCGGCGACTTTCGCTATGCCGCGCGGTTCTGCGTCCCACTCTACGACTGCTTGAATGTGTTTGCCGTCACCGCGACCAATGGCGCCACCGTTCCCAATCCGGCTGGGCTCCTCGTTGCCATCCAGATCACCTACTCCGACGGAACGACCTCGCAGCTGGTGTCAGATGCGACCTGGCGCGGCGCCATCACGTTCCCGAGCAACTACCAGTCCCTGTCGTTCGACGACAACCCGTGGCGCCCCGTCCTCGTCGAGGCAGGGTACGGCGCCGCGCCCTGGGGCACGATCCCGGTCCCCTCCGTGCCCCCAGTGCTCACGCTAGCCGGCGCCGCCTGGATCTGGACGACGGAGGTGTCTGGAGGGATCGCCCCAGCGGGGACCCGCGCGTTCCGCCGCACCTACACGGCACCCCCAGGGCAACTTGTCGGGTCCGCCACGGTGATCATCGCCGCGGACAACGAATACACGCTCTACGCGAACGGCTTCCAGATCGGCTCCGGGACGAGCTTCACTACGGCGCAGACCTGGAGCATCAACCTTGGTGCCGCATCGCAGGTCGTCTTCGCCGTGGTCGCGACGAACATCCTCACTGTCCCGAACCCCGCGGGCGTCATCTTCGCGGCGGAGATCAACCTCGTCCAGACGGCGTGCAATTGCACTGGCGGAGCCTACCTGGTCAGTGATGGCTCTTGGCTGTGGCCTGGGAACGGTTCGCTTCCGCCGGGTTTCCAGAATCCCGGGTACGACAGCTCGTCCTGGACAGCTGTTACCACGGAAGGTGCCAACGGTGTTGCTCCGTGGGGTACAGTCGCTATTTCTCCGTCGACGGGGACCGTAAATGCCTTTTGAGTGGTGATCTTTTAAACCTGGGTCGATACAAGTTTGGAATGCGGCTTTCGCAGACTTTTTATGATGACTCGATGGATTCTGAATGTAAAGTTTCAATGAGAACCAAGCTTAATCCGAAATGGCACAAACGCATTCTTCCTAGTTACGTATTCGGCGGCTCTTTAATGCCGAAGTGGTTCTGTGGGTATCCGCTAGCAATGGCATTACAGTAGAAATAAGGATAGCCAGCACAGAACGTGGATCAGGTTGAAATCTGGCAAATGAGATTTTGCATGATGTCCACTGATAAGATCTGCAGTCAAGCCTGGAAGGACATCTGGCTTTCAAGGAGAGAGAAATTCAAACAATCTCATGCAGGATATCATCTGTCTGATTCTGTCAGGGAAGGTCCACGTGATCAGGTCAAGATAAGATTAGATCATTCCACATTGTCATGCAACCTAGGCGGGAGGAGAGCCCCTGATGTGTTTCCTCTCTCCCATACCAGCCTGAAACTCACAGGTTATGTGCCCCATGTTCCCAAGAACTCCACATTATTCTTGGCAGCTCCTTCCCCGCAATATCATTGACTTCAAGAATGGGGTGTCCCACCCCAGGGACCTCCAATTATTATGTAAAATGGCTTCGAGGCCCCCTCCAGAGGCCATCAAACCAGCAGGAATGTTCTCGGGAGGGAGTTGCGTCTGCATTTGTACACGGATCTGTTCAGCACAGTCCCTGTGTGATTTCTGCTGATTGTCTGTCTGCACCTGCAACAGAGCCACCCCAGGGACCTCCAATTATTATGTGAAATGGCTTCAAGGCCCCCTCCGGAGGCCCGCGACCTCAGCAGGTGCCGGCTTAGTGAGTAGACGAATCATCCCATGGGACGGTCTCCCATTCACATACCATGATCCTGACCTATTGATATATTTTCCGACGGCCTGATGAAAAACTTGTGCGCCACTTTACAGGATGGCGATTCAAAAAGCATTCGTGGTCCCCGTCGACGGAGAAACAGCGACTGTGCCCCAGGGAGCAACGCCGTTGGCACCTTCCGTGGTAACAGCCGTCCAGGACGAGCTGTCGTAACCGGGATTCTGGAAACCCGGCGGAAGCGACGCGTTCCCAGGCCACAACCAGGAGCCATCACCGACCAGGTAGGCTCGGCCGGTGCAGTTGCACGCCGTCTGGACGAGGTTGATCTCCGCCGCGAAGATGACGTCCGCGGGGTTCGGGATGGTGAGGATGTTTGTCGCCACCACGGCAAATACGACCTGCGACGCGGCGCAACCGAGGTTGATGCTCTCTGGCGTACAGCGTGCGCACTTTGTCCGCGGCGATGATCGCCGTCGCGGACGAGACCAGTTGCCCTGGAGGTGTCGTGTAGGTGCGGAGGAACGCGCGGGTCCCCGCTGGGGCGATCCCTCCGGACACATCCGTCGTCCAGATCCAGGCGGTTCCGGCCAGCGTAAGCACAGGGGGCACGGAGGGGATCGGGATCGTGCCCCAGGGCGTGGCGCCGTAGCCCGCCTCGACGAGGACGGGGCGCCACGAGTTGTCGTCGAACGAAAGGTGTGAGGGACAAGATGAATCTGGAGAGCCTAAAGCAGGTACTTGCTCATGAACGTGATGGCACCGCGCCAGGTCGCATCTGACACGAGTTGCGAGATCGTTCCGTCGGAGTAGGTGATCTGGATGGCAACGAGGACTCCGGCCGGGTTGGGAACGGTGGAGCCGTTGGTCGCGGTGACGGCAAACACATTGAAGCAGTCGTAGAGCGGGACTGTCGTGCGTGGTACCAATGGGCGGTGGACTGACCCTCGTATGAAATGCCCTGGGTGCCACAGCGGCGGCATCTCTTCTTCGGACGTGACAGCGCCGGAGATCCACGGCACTTGCGCCAAGTACAGCTCGCACAGACGCGCTGTCTCCTCGTATGGTGGCAGGCGGTCACACAGGGGGGAAGACGAGCCTCACGTGTTCTGACACCCCGCGTTTCTTTCAAGAAACTCGAAAGAAAGGCCCTTGAATGGTGTCTGGGCGGATCCTATTCTCAATATGGTATGGGACTTCGGGATCAGTCGGAACGGCTTGATGCGATTGATCATTTCATAATTTAGATTACGCTCGCCTGTATCCACGTGGGATTCAAGGACGCGTTCAACAACAGCAGATGATGCCAATGGTCGGGGAAGCTGGATTTGAGCTTGTGACAGGAAATGCTATCACAGGCCCAAGTGCCAGGAGCCAAAGTAAGAAGCATGGCACAGATGTGCCCTAAATGGTCAATCTGTGCTGGAGTTGCAAATCATCAGTGCTGCAACTGTGTTCCTACTCACCCAGATGTCCCAGGAAACAAATGTGTTCGTGTCTCCGAAGAAGTGATTTGGAAGCATTTACGGGACAATGGGATCTGGGATTATGCCATCAACTACACATTTGTATTGCAGAATATACAGCCTTGTACTCGAGCATGTAGTATCGGTGGCAACATGATTGGAACGGCCGGAGCAGAGCCAGTGTTGGATGATGGATAAGTGGGAGCTGAGTGTGAGCGCGACGGGACAATGGGACAACGAGCATGGGTGGAGGGCACATGTGAGGCCAATGCCACTGAGGGCTTTAATGGTGTAAGGGCCGATGCAGAACGTCGAGCCAATAGAATGACACACCATAGAGCTGTAACGCGCCCCGACTTCCAACCATATCCTTCCACAAGATCTCTTCTCTATTCCGCCTTGTCGTCATGCTGTGTGCTCGAGAGTGTCGGTCATATGCAGGTGACATGCACAAAGATGGAACCGAGTGGACACAGCGTTGTCGGGAGCTTGTACTCATTTGAACAGACAGGAAAAGATGGAAAGGAAGGATACCAATCACGGAAAAGAGCCTTCGAGTGCGTCCAGCGTGAGGTCAAAGCTTGGGCCAAGCTTCGCGCTCACTGAGTGAAGGGTCACATTGTGTCACATGGACCGTGGTCGAGAGCCGGGACACGTGCCATCTTGAATTCGACTGGCTGGGTCCTGAAGCCAGATCGGGCCATTTTCCCGATTCAGTTCAGGCTTGAAATCCTATCGGCTACACGTGATCGCCTTTTCAAGAGCGAAACAGCGGGGGGGAAATACTCATAACGCTGAAATTCGGTATGGAATACAGTCTATGGAAGCTAATAATGATGCTAAACTCTCCTCTTCTCCTCCTCTTTTCTATCTTGAAAAAACTTGAAAACTTCGCCGCCCGCCCAGAGATAGGATATAGGCCAAAAGAAAGGTGTTTGTGAACGATCGGTTTCAGTTTGATGTGAACCGAATCTCTCCGGGAATAAGTGTCCCTGCATCCGTGGGGATGAACGACTGTCCATCTAAGTAATGTCGCTGTCGAGCGTGCGAGCGCCGTGCACCATCATCATGGGGAGAGTCATCTTGGACGGGTAAGAAAGATCAGAGCTGTGCACTGGATGACCCGTGACTAGGCATGATGGCAGTGCGAGCTGCGAGAAGCCTGGAAGACATCCGACCAAGTACAACGGGTGTATCTGGCCGCAGTCTCATCCCTCCCGATATTATGTGTCTCATCCAATTCACATGACCTCCCGTCCGCTCCGAGTCACTGAGATTCTGCGGCGACTAATGGACATATGTGCGCAACTAATGGACAAATATGCTCCTCCTGGGACCGGCACTGTCTAACTATTACTTATTGCTTGATGAAGTCTGTCCATAATCTGGCCGACTGTCACGCCCTGACATGCGCCGCCGGCTAACCTTGGTTTTGTCTGAGCCTGTGGCCTATGTAGCAATCTCAATTCAATACTGAAGTGTTGGAAGCTTCATTGCTGTGAGCCGTGGCATTGTTCCAGCAAGGCAGTGTGTATGGAGGAACCCTACTCAAACACGAGGTACAGCAGTTTCCTTCCTGCCTTTGACCATGCCACAATCTGACGAACAACAGGCTAAGAAACAAGTGACCGACGAAGCACGTCTCGAGCGCGAGAAGGCCAGCGGGAACAAGCTCTGGAGCGCCTACATTTCCGAGGCGCAGAGTTACGATCAAGGTCTCATCGATGGCTGGCGTAGTGAGATGGATGGTCTGTTGATCTTCGTGCGTCCCCGTCCATTTTCGATCCCAGTCTCTCTCTGAATGTGACTCATTAGGCTGGTCTCTTTTCCGGCGTCGTTACAACGTTCATCATCGACAGCTACAAGACGCTGAACCCCGATTCGGGCGGCCAGACCGTCGAGCTGCTCAGCCAGACCGTCACTCTGCTCGGCCAGATCTCGCAACAGCTTGCAAACATGAACAATGGTACAGCGGTGCAGGACGCACTTCCTCCCGCCACAGCCTTCTCGCCGCCAACCTCATCTCTTGTCTGCAACGCACTTTGGTTCACGAGTCTTGCGCTGAGCTTGTCGAGCGCCCTGGTGGCGACCCTGGTCAAGCAGTGGGCGCAGGAGTACCAACACCGCACATCGATGTTCTCGTCTCCCTCTGTCCGCGCGCGCGTGTACATGTATCTGTATCACGGTCTGCAGCGTTTCAATATGCATGCTGTTGTTGGCGTTCCGCCCCTTCTTCTGCATGCGGCGCTGGTTCTATTCTTTGCGGGTCTGGTGGCCTTTCTCGTGCCCGTCAACGTCATCATCACGGGCATCTCCTCCGCTCTTTTGCTTTCCTTTGTATCTGTCTACGGGACGTTCACGGTGCTCCCGCTTTTCTGCTTCGACAGTCCATTCCAGACACCACTCACGCGAATCCTCTGGTCGCTGAATCAGAGCTTGGGAAGCATTCTGAGGACTTATGTTCGAAGGGCAGTTGTTGCGACAGACCCCGAGGCCCACACTGGACCTTCTGTTCCTGTGGACACTAGTCTGCAGACCCAGAGCATGGTGAAGGCCATGACATCAGCGGCACTGCACCCCACAGTGGAGACAGAGACACGGGCTCTTGCGTGGGCCATGCGCTCTCTCTCTAACGATCTTGAGTTTGAGCCGTTCGTGGAAGGGCTTGCCCAGGTGCTGTGGGATTTTGACAGCGGGGTGCCATGCAGCGTATATCAGGCGCATTTCAAGATTTTGTTGTCGGATCCGGAAATTTGTCTCTACCAGCGTCTTGCGGATTTCATGGCTGGCTCCAACAGCTACCTGCTTGAGCCCACGGCTCGCGTCCGCCGACAGCTGTCCGTGCTCCGGGCCATCTGGGCCATCTGCGCATTCTCCCTCCACACGGGATCGCCACTGGAGTGTCCGCTTGGAGAAGCCAACGTGGACCATGCGCTGCTCGGCTCGAAATTTGTCACTTCCCCCGATGTGCAGAGCCATGTCCTTGCTGTGCATGCTCTGATTCGTCTGAACGTCATCGAGTCTAAGAGCCGGCAACGGACCCTCGAACACCCCGACATGCAGACGGGCGACTCCGATCGTGATTTGCGCGCCGAAATGGAGCAGCAGCTGCAAGTCGAGAAGGACCAGACGTACGTCCAGTATCTGGTGGCACTTTCCAAAAGCCCGGCCAGCTTCCAGCGGGAAGTGACCCATTTGCTCTTTCATCGATCGCAAATCCTCGTCGCCAGAGCGGACGCAGACTTCATTTTGCGAGTCGCTCTAGAAGAGCTGATCAAATCAGGGTCGGACGAGACAGTGTACAACGTCGTCTTTGCCGCTCGCCACCTTATTTCCGTGATTGCCGACACATCGGCCTATCCATTGATGGCTGGAATCTCCGGTCTTGCGCAGTTCCTTGTTCGACATCCTTGCCTCACCGCCTACGACCCAGAGTCCAACTCACAGCCCGGTCCGAAGTCTAACTACACACGATTCCTGTGTTACTATCTGTGTCTGCACTTGAAGTGGCCACGCGATTTCGAGGCATCTGCCTACTCCCTCCAGCTGATTTATCGCCATTTTCTGAACGCCGCTGAACCCGCAAGGTACCCGGCAGACCTCGATACCCATCTTTCGGTCCTTCGCGCTCTGAGGAATTCTGGCACTCAAGCGGCAGACATCCACACGCACCGGTTGGTTGCCATGACCCAGTATGCCGTGCTTGCATGTGTCTCGCCGGATTTGTCAGAATCAGGGCAATTATCGGAATCGGACGATTTGCTGGAGTCGGCGGAATTGCTCAGTATCCTCAACGACGACTACGAGACCTGGTTTCGTGCATTAATTGGCTTTGACAACGAGAAGTGGATGGAGCGGGGATCGACTCATGACGCTCATTACCTGATACACAGCTGTGTACGTGTGGGTGTTGTGACCACCTTCTTGGAGCAGTGCGCTCAGAAATCAGATCAAACGGAACGCAAACTTGACTTCGAGACACTCGACATGATCCACGCACTCAGCCGTATTCGACAATTGCTCCCGAGCGAAATCCAACTTTGATTCGCCAACGCTGTCTCTGGATTCCTACACAAATATCCAAAGGACAATTTCGCAGATGACAATAAACTCCACTGGGTGCTTGTCTGGGCCGTCAGTGAGTATGTCGGCTGGATCAAGGATCCGGAGGCATTGCAGGTCCTGGACACAGCTGTGTTTGCCGTGCAGACGGACAATGAGCAGCAAATACACCCATTCAATGCTAAATGGATCTGCAAAGAGATTCAGCCCCAGCTCAATCTTCCTGAGATCATTTTTGCTGCATTTGTCTCGCTTGTTACTGACAGAGAGTGAAGCCACCAGTGTTGATGGGGTCCAATCCGGTACCGGTCCCAGGGTCCAGGGGCAGGTCAAGGACGGGTCCGGTCAAGAGAAGGAATATGTGTGTGGTCCGGTGTGGTCCGGTCCCAATCCAGAAATCATGTAATTTACTGTTAATGAGCTGAATCATTTGTCAAAATTACTGTCTAGTATCATTTTGCCTTGATCCCGCCTCAATTTGCTTGATTACATGGATCCCAACAAAACAAAGCGCGAGCTACTGCATGATCGTTTGCTTTAGTTGCATCTGTATCATTTCAAGTAGCATGAAGCCTCGCTGAAGATTATAAGGAATCTTATCTAATTTGAGAAGATCTGATGACATCGATCTCACTGCTGATTCACAGCACTTGACTCTGACCCCAATGTGGCCTGGGGACGTACACAAAAGACGAACGAGGAGGTCCGAAATCTCGGCAACGCACAAATCATACTTTTGGAGTATAGGCCGGAATGCATAGCAAAAGCTCATCTACTGCATGACCGCAGGGATAACTCAGCTGCATCTCCATCGCTGCATCTAAATGGTGTATGGAATCGGTCGAACGCGCACACTGACGTGCAGAACGCAAGCTCTACATACGAAGACTCTCTCCAGTCCGTCACGCATCCCGTGCTGGTCTCAGGCCCTCGACGCTCACACAATATGCATAGAAGTCAGGAACAACATCAGTCGAGCGGTTACCGCTGCGGTTGGCAGTTGGTGGCGGTGTGTTTCAGCTCCCATAGCACCCCAGACATTGTGATGCGTGGGCTAGTGGCGGAGGATCCGAGGCTGCGAGAGCATTGGCAGATGTACGTGTCAAAGGTCGGGTCGCAGCAACATCAGATAGATGGTCCTTCTTCACTTTGGAATTAGGGTGCGCCACTTTTCAGAGAGATGCGGTTCCCATCGGAATGAAACCGGTTGTTCAGAAACGGTTTTCGTTTGGATGGCTTGAAGAAATGCGCGTCATCAGCCTGATCTATACTTGATGCAAGCCCTGTGTATCTTTGACACCACCATGTCAATTCAACTGGACGATGTGATGCAATAAAGCAATCAACATGAGGTGACTCTACTGCCCATTGGCACTGTCCACAACCTCAGGTTGTTCCCCATTAACTTGTGCTTTTGTGCATTGGCCAATGTCCAGACAATAATCCCTGCAGCCCACAATCCAAATGCGGCGGAAACAGATCAACACACGGGTTGCTCAGAGGTGTATTGTTTTGCGCTTACTACAGCATTGTTGACAGCTCGAGGCCCAATGTCCCATCTTTGGCTATATTTGGCATGTCTGCAAAACACGCACAAGGCGTGAGTTGATTCATCAGACTCTGGTTTCATAGCCTGATTCTACGGTATCAGACCAGCCTCTATCAGTGGCCTGCATCCTTTCTGGTCATTCCTCACCTTACGTCCCTCTTTCCTGATTGTAGCTGCGTCAAATCAGATTTGAGTGTTGTCTGGGAGCTGTGCATCACCAATTGTCAGCAGTTGAGTAGGCTTGCTTGTGCTTACTCTGTTTTGGGGTTCATTGGGGTTGTCACGCCCTGGTAACATGCCTGCTGCAACATGTTGCAAGTGATGCTGTCTCAAATTGGTCGCTTTTGTGTGCTGTGGACGCATCAAGCAATCCAGGCACCAAGAGGACAAGCTGTTGACTCTCAGCATAAAGATGCATACACTGACAACCAAAATGAAGCCGACCAAAACACCGCCTTCCTGGTGCAGGTTATTGGATTTGCCCTAGCGAGAGTTCTGTGATGTGCAGTTTGGACAATCCAAGAGTTCTCTGATGTGCAGTTCGGACAATCCAATCAGCATGACTGTGATAAATTTGTATGGATGTGCAATGGTACAGTCCACTACCTTCAGCTCATTTGCCAACTCCGATTTTTAATCATATGTCCCTGAGACAAGCATGCAATATGTCATTGGGGCATGTCCTGGGACCACTAATCCACTGTCAGCATGAGAATATATGTAGTCTGTGTCTCTCAAGAATGAATATACCCAATGTTTGACCTTTAAGTATTCATCATCTGATTGGCTGATCAATCTGTTGAAGCTTGTTTGTATTAGCGACTATCACAGTATGTAGACATGACATCATAAGTAGTATTCTTAGATTACTTTGGCTCGCTCCACAATGACCTCATACCTGACCTCATTATTGCGTCATCCATTACTCATCTATGATATCATTACTCCACTATGACATCATGATATCTGCTCCAGACTGGTATATAAACCTAGTACTATACGCTCCATATCCTCAGCTCCTGTGTCTCTACACTCGCTGAGGTATGCATTCTCCCTTACGATCTAATGACCTTACTTATGACTTGTACCATAGACTCTGTCTTATAGGTACAGCTAATGATATAGCTCCTGTGTCTCTACACTTGCTGAGACTCTGTCTTATAGGTGATCGCTACTGGTCGTATCTCCACTGCGCGGTATTGTCTGCGACAGGTTATGGGCCCCGCCTGAACCACTAGCAACAGATCAAGAAACATCGAACTACTCCCTTTACTAAGGCGAGTATCTTTCACTCGTTCAGCCCTTCTAGAGCGCCGTCTTTGTGCGCTCGTCCCACTTGCTGGATGTCGGTCCTCGCATTTGTGCTCTCACCCTCAAGGGGTTACGCGAGCGGCGTCAGGGAGTCATTCAGTTGGCAGACGCGCCGTTAGCCATTCCGTCCATGATTGCTCGCGCGCGTTTTACGTTACATCTTTTTATTGTACAGCGGACATACCCACCAGGCACTGGTCCTTTGGTCAATCCCACTCCTGAACCTTGCGCGAAGCGCCTAGGTGGTGTGGTAGCTCTCAACAGCTGCTGGAGGTCAATCCCTCCGCCAGGCAAAACAATCCTTCGGGGTTGACTCGCATTCCTCACAAGGGACCCTGTGGGCTGGTGACACTACGAGGATTCATGCAATGACGCTCTGCGTGTATGCATGTCTTTAAAAGGGAGAAGATGGGCGGCCAAACCCGGTGCTTGGGACGGCCTTGGGCACGTGTCCCTTGGCCAGTGACGGACTGCGAGGGCAGTAATCACCGTCGGGTACTGCCGCCGCTGACGTATATAGTTACGTTACTTTGATACAAATATGGGCACTTACTATACCACTTTATTTTGTTATCATTCCCCGCGCGTATATGGGCATCATGGATGGGATGGGGACGCTTGGTCGTTCTCGTTTCAGAGATTTGGCACTTGGGATTTGTTTCTTGGTCTGCAGAGAATCTGGGGCTGACTTCGTCGCTCTAGTCTTCATCTCTATCACCCTGTCATCACCAGACGACCCTCCCGTTGGGGTTATCCTATTTCCTGTTGTCCGCTGGGCTCAGGGACCTCCTTACATTCCTCTCCAAGACGCCGATTGGAGGGATCTATACGATCTTGGAGAACACGACAACGAAGAGTTCTTCCATCACCAAGAGAATTGGACTCCAGAACTTCGATCTCTATTCGGTGATTCTCCCTATATCGAATTCCCCTCTCTTCACTACCAAACCGCCGACGTTATCGAGTATCTCCCCACCATGTCGGGAATCGAGAAGCTCAACAACTCCATTCTGAGTGTCTTCGATGGCACCAATTGGAATACGTGGTCGGACAACTACATGAGCATCTGCATGCATCAGGGCACCTGGGGAGTGGTTAAACCCACTCATATTATGGTTAACGGCACATCTACCTCGAACCCTGGTTCTATGGAGCGTCCTGGAACGGCTGGCGACAGCCAGGATCAATGGGAGGTTGCCAATGAAAAGGCACTGGGTCTTGCGCGGGTTTATATCACTCAGAATCTGCGCAAGGGAATCTTTATGGACGGTCAGCGGGAGCGCACTGCGCGCGAGGTTTTTGCGAAGATGGCGACAGATTATGGTCAACCAAATGCCATCGATGCTTTCGTCGAGTACCGCCTCCTGAACACCACCACCTTCCACGGTGGTGACACCATTGAAAAACAAATCATGGAAATGGAGACTCGTCGTCGCCAGTGTTCGGAAGGAGGAATCGAGATCCCCGACTACCTCTTCGCAACTCTAATGCTCGCCGCCTTGCCCGCTTCCAGCAGAGGTTTCGTCACCTCTTACCTGGCCAATCGTCCTATCGCTTCTCTGAACCCAGTCAATGTCAAGAACAGCGTCATAGGGAATATCAAGATCGAGAACCTTGACACAACGTCAAACTCGAAGATTTCCACCGTTCCGTCCCTCGCCACCCAATGCACTCATTGTAACAAGTCCGGTCACGTTGCGGCATCCTGCTACAAGAAGTATCCCAACCTCAAGCCTACTGGTCAATCTTCTGACAAAGGCAAGGGGAAGCAGGATGAGGGGAAGAAGAAAAAGAAGAAGGAAAAGAAGAGCGGTGATGGTACTAGCGCTGTAAAAGAGGTTGTAGCCGCTCCCGCGGTTGCAGCTGCCTCCAATGGAATGCACATTTTGTCCTATCTCATGAGTGACTCCCTCAAACACATCGATGATGGAATTTTTGTTGAAGAAATGGGAGACGACTCCAAAGTTCGTTTTCTATGGGATTCGGGTTGTACGCATCATATGACAAACACCCGATCCGATCTTCACAACATCAGACCTATCGACACCTATGTAGTCATTGGGTCGGGAGCTTGCTTCAAGAATGAAGCCGTTGGAGATATTGTGTTGCGGGGTCATACTAGTAGTGGCATGGACTACACCTTCACGCTGAAGGATGTCATCTACAACCCGCACATAAGAGGGCGTTACCTTTCTGGGTATGCGCTCGATCAGGCTGGTTACTACACCGTGGTTGGTGACAACAAGGCAATCCTAGTCACCAAGGATTGGCTCAACAAGGGAAAAGCGCATGGGGATGTCTTGATGACCTTTAAAGCAAGCAATCGCTGCTACTGGTACTACCCCGAGGAGCTCGTGGCACCATCTGTGTCTGCATCTCACGAGTCTACCGCGCTCGCTTCCCTGGAAACTACCGATCGTGAATTGTGGCATAAGCGTTTTGGTCATGCGGCTCGGAGGACCCTTACTCACTTGCCGACACAAGTTGAAGGTGTTCCCCCCTTGCGACGCAATAAAGACCAGCGCGGCATGTGCGATGGATGTATGCTTGGAAAACAGCACAAGCATCCGTACCCTGCATCGGAGAAACGTGCTAGCAAACCCCTCGAGCTGATCCACACTGATTTGATGGGCCCCTGGCCTACTCAGTCGTTGGAAGGTTCACGCTACACAATTTCGTTCTACGACGATTTCTCGAGCTTTGGCATGATGGTGTTCATTAAATCAAAGGACCAAGCCTCTACTGCGATTAAAAACTTTGTTGCCCTTACAGAGCGTCAGCTTGGCACAAAAGTACTGGCCTTCCGGTCAGATCGTGGAGGCGAATATATGTCCGATGAACTCACAGCCTGGCTCAATGCACGTGGTATTATGCACCCTAAGTCCGCGCCACGCGAACCACAGCAAAATGGGAGGTCTGAACGTTGGAATCGCACAGCCTACAAGAAAGCGGAATGCATGCGCCTCGATGCCGGCCTATCCAAAGGCTTCTGGCAATGTGCTATGGATGCATCTGTCCACGTTCATAATAGACAACCTATGGCACGATTGGGATGGCGAACACCTGCGGAACTGTGGCTTGGAAAGAAGCCAGACGTCTCTTATTTCTGTGTGTTTGGATGCAAGGCGTCTCTCTATGTGGATGTTGAAAAACGCCCGAAAGGGTTGGAGCATGGACGCCCCGACCACATCTTCGTTGGATACGAACGAGAGACAAAAGCTTGGAAAGTGTGGGATCCGAATCAACGCAAGATACGAGTCTCTTCAAATGTTGAGTTCAATGAGCGAGTATTCCCTGCCAAGTCCAAGCTAGTCACCGGCAATGTGTCCTCTGGACCGGAGCCGTTCACACCATTCGAGGAAACCTTCCCTGACCTTATCAATAATCCTGCGCCTGCAACGCCTTATGCAAGCATACCACCTCCTGCTCTCCCACCGCCACCGGCACCCCTCGCGCAACAAGGTCCTGTCACGGGATCGCGAGAAGTACCCCTAATGCCTGGCCCGATAGACGATCGCCCGATTGCCCATCGCCGCCCTCGTCGGAATAAGCCCCGCATTATGCCAGATGAAACTACGTATCAGAGGCCTAGCAGCATTGAGTCCATGTTGTCAGCTGCCCAAGCTGAGCATGACTTGCCTCAAAACGTGCGGGATGTAGCAAAGAGCCCGGATGCACTCAAGTGGGAGCACGCAATGCGCGAAGAACTGGACTCTCTCGAGGAAAACTGTACTTGGGATTTGACCAGCCTCCCACGCGGTCGAAAGACTGTCAAATGCAGATGGGTGTTTAGCAGGAAGCGTGACGGTCGTTTCAAAGCACGACTTGTTGCCAAGGGATTCACTCAGGTTCATGGGTTTGACTATGATGAGACCTTCTCGCCAGTATTGCGCTATGAATCTTTGCGCATACTTATGGCTCTGGCTGCTCTCGAAGATTGGGAGATTCATGCCATGGATGTCAAAACGGCATTCCTAAACGGGGATCTGGAGGAAGAAATCTATATGGAACTTCCGGAATTACCCAAAGGTTTCTCGTCATGGCCAAAAGAAAAGGTGGCACGCCTTCGTAAATCACTCTATGGGTTGAAACAGGCGTCTCGTCAGTGGAATATCAAAATCCACAATGCCCTCCTCGAACTTGGTTTTGCTCGGACATACTCCGACGCCGGTGTCTACACATATCGCCAACAAATGGGAGATACGGTCATCATCTTGGTGCTGTATGTTGACGATATGCTCATTATGGGCAACAATCTGCCGGAGATAGCGCGGATCAAATCATTGCTCGCGAACCGCTTCAAAATGACAAATCTTGGTCCTGCAAAGGATTTCCTTGGTCTGAACATAGTTCGTGATCGCAAAGCGCGTAAAATCTGGATCGATCAGGCTTCCTATATCGAAGGAGTTCTAGAACGATTCCGGATGTCTTCGTGTAAAGAAGCTCGTACTCCCCTGCCTTCCGGCATCGTGCTCGAGAAGCATGATGGAGAAGTTGATGAAGACCGTCGTACCCAATACCAGCAACTGATTGGCAGCCTTCTATACGCCATGCTTGGTACTCGCCCCGACATTGCCTATGCAGTCATCCGTCTATCAAAGTTCAACAGCAACCCGTCAGAACATCATTGGAACATGGCAAAATACATACTCCGGTACCTTCAGGGCACCAAAAACTACCAACTTTGCTATGATGGTTCCACTGGCGCAGGCCTTATCGGTTATTCCGATGCTGATTGGGCGGAGAACAAAGACGACAGGCATTCAACCACGGGATATTCCTTCTTCATCGCCGGTTGTGCAGTGACCTGGGTTTCTAGACGCCAACCCACGGTCGCTTTGTCCTCAACAGAGGCCGAATACACGGCTCTGAGCGATGCTACGCGCCAGATTGCCTGGATCCGCACTTTGTTGACTGAGCTCGGATATGACTTGCCATCCACGCCTCTTTGTGTTGATAACCAAGGCGCTATCTTTATGGCAGTAAATCCAGTTCATGATAGGAGGACGAAGCACATCGACATCCGCTATCACTTCGTACGAGAATCCGTCGAAGCTGGCAATGTCCAACTTTACCATGTGCCGACTGATGCGATGATCTCCGACACGCTCACAAAGTCTCTGGCATGGGTGAAGTTCCAACAACATCGGCTGTCTTTGGGTCTTCGTGATCCGACTGTTTAGTCGAGTGGGAGTGTTGAAGCTTGTTTGTATTAGCGACTATCACAGTATGTAGACATGACATCATAAGTAGTATTCTTAGATTACTTTGGCTCACTCCACAATGACCTCATACCTGACCTCATTATTGCGTCATCCATTACTCATCTATGATATCATTACTCCACTATGACATCATGATATCTGCTCCAGACTGGTATATAAACCTAGTACTATACGCTCCATATCCTCAGCTCCTGTGTCTCTACACTCGCTGAGGTATGCATTCTCCCTTACGATCTAATGACCTTACTTATGACTTGTACCATAGACTCTGTCTTATAGGTACAGCTAATGATATAGCTCCTGTGTCTCTACACTCGCTGAGACTCTGTCTTATAGGTGATCGCTACTGGTCGTATCTCCACTGCGCGGTATTGTCTGCGACACAATCTACCAATGATCAGTGATGCTCTTGATGCTATTGATGGCATTGATAGCATTGATGATATTGATTGGATCTTGCATGCACCTCCAGTGCCTCCAGGGTCCCCCATTCTCTGAATTCAACATTCTATTGCAATCAAACTAGCATGCAGAGGTGGAAATAACAGAACATAGTTATCTATGAGAACATCTATCTGTTACATTGTCATCTCATTCAGACTCTTCAAGTGATAACCTGTGGAGGCAGCAGAGGCCAGTTCTGCCATTTGCTCCAGCATCTGATTCACGTGGTGAGACATCTAACTAAAGGACCCTCATAATTATAATGAAGACCATCAACATCATAGACATGGTTTATGTGGCTGAACCCAAAAAACCACTTTTGGTCACTGGCTGTGGAGGCCATGGAGGCCAGTTCTGCTATTGCTGCTAGCATCTGATCTATGTAGCCACCTGTCACTCTGGAATACCCAGATATTCTGACTAGGACAAACAACATATGACAATCAACAAGAAATAGTGTCAAAAAGAGAAGTGAATTCAAAGACTGGAGAATACAACCAAGTAACTACAGTATTTATACCCAAATCCAGTCTGAGTCATATCTACAACTAATGAGTCATAAGGCTATGTACCACATGGAGCACTGGTCATGGGTTGTAGTAGAACCTTCCAGAGCATATGTTGTGCAGCCTTGAATCGATAGAGATAATCCCTAGACCCCTAGCCCAGGCTGTCAGATGCCATGATCCATGATAAGATAATCCGTGCCGAGATAGGATGAGATCGCCAATGATAAGATGAAAAAGGGTCAAACTATGACACAACATCAGAACTATGGTTTATGTGGCTGAATCTACAATAACTGCTTTTGGTCCCCAGCCCTGGAGGCGGTGGAGGCTAGTTCTGCCACTGCTCCAGCATCCAATTTATATCCTGGGCTGTTGTTTTGACCACCTCAGTTACCACCGCCAACCCCCCATATAGACCCCGCGGGGGACCTCCTGGGTACCCTTAGACGTAGCTCTATGGGTACCCAGGAGGTCCCCCCCCGCGGGGGTACAGGGGGCAGCTGGCCATTTTGGGGCAGGGGGATGGGCGGGGGTCAGGACGGGGGTCAGGACGGGGGTGCCCATACATACCATGTGACTTGTCCATAAGAGCGGGCAGCTGGGCGGGAAAAAAAAAAATCAATCACATGATGCACCAAATGGGCGGGATGGCGGGAAAATCACGTGATGAGCTGCAGGAAAAATTTCAAAATGGCGGGGGTTGGCAGGGGCGTTGGCGGGGGCGCTACCGCCCCTCCCGCACACTGCAGCGGGCAGTGGGCGCATTATCACGTGACTTTTTGGGGGCCCCTTTTTGCACCATTTGGCATGATTTTGGAGGTGCTGCTTGATAGATTGCATGTTGTGGCAGACAGTGGGCGCAAAATCACGTGATTTTCCGCCAAAAAAAAAAAATGGAAGCCTCTCTAAATCATCCCAGTATAATTTCCATAGGTAAATACACTAATTGACCATGCATTTGAGCTTAGAAAACCCCAAATGCACCCTGCACAATAGGATTGTTGATGCGCTTGATCCCATCATCTGGCGGGGTCTGCCGTGGGGTCAGTCTGGCATATTCTATATTTGACCTCCTTTAGCCGTAGCAGTAGTGCTGCTGACCACCAGGGCAAGAATACAAACATTTATGAAATATCTTATCAAGGTAGACAAAGCCAATAGGGAAGGTGAAGATGTGTAACTGGATATTGCAATTGATGCAGGGCCCAGTGCGGGGTCTGGTGCGGGGTCTGGTGCGGGGTCTGATGCGGGGTCTGGTGGGGGAGCAGGGGCAGGGGTGGATTACACAAAATTTTGATGTATCTACTCTGGCTAGGGTTGTAGAATATCACGTAACTTTTCTCTATTTTGGCAGGGAATGGGGGATAAAGATACACAACATTGCCCGCATGTTTTGGCTGGGTCTCCAGGTCAAGTCATGTGATTTACCAATGTTTCGGTGGGGGGTAGGAGATTAATGGATGATGTTACCTATATAATCCATGGCATGTGAAGTCAAGCAGAACATGTGATTTTCTCATTTTTTGGCTGGCAGGATGGGTGGCATAGTAGATTGGCAGACCAGGGTCCACACTCCACTCATTGATTGTTTGCTTTACCCATTTAATATATATGTGTAGCACAGTGGTATCCATTTTTGGAGCTTGTAATAGAACATATTAGGTACACATCTCATCCCCCCCTTCCTGGCTGAATGCACTTGAGGTCTGAAACTTGTGTGTTCCCTTGCAAGCGATCTGCTTGGGTTTCAGCATGAATTCATTAAATAGAGTGGATTTGAGGTGAACTATATTCATTACTCGGTGTGATGTGAGAGGATGTATTTACTGGCAAGTTGTCCCACAATAGTCAGAGCTTGGTTATCAGTGCAAATTTGACATGTAAACTCTTAACAACTTGTGTCTTGGCTTGTATCTTTTGGAAGACCAACTGCAAACACATGGCTGATTGTTTTTACCAATGAGTCTCTACCCACCCCAGCCATGACCACCTGCCTGCACCCCCGCCTTCACCCCCGCCCCCCGCCAGCACCCCCGCAACTACCCTGCCACTGATTGACCCCCGCCATCACCCCCGCCACACCGGTGCCTCAGCCCCTGCCATCTCCGAATATGTAATATTATGTAAAGTGACAGCCCGGAACACATCAAGTCAGTAGCCAATCAGGACCTGTATAAACGTCGTACCTAACTATGTTTTGCTCTTCTGAGACTGTTTTTACATATATGCTGCTAAAAACCATCGGAATTATGTCTCCTTATGCTGTTCTTGTTGAATATAATGCCACTTCATGTCCTCTGTCAGCCCGAAATTCGAAACATGGAAACAGCTCATAGTGACTCAATGTTCCTATATAGAGAACACTTCAACATGGTTCACTTTGCATATTGCGCAAAATATATTTTCTGCAAGGGCCCAACTTCACACAACCGAAGGATACACCCTTTGGCAATGCCTGAACAAAATCTGGGGAGTGCTGGACCCTGTAACGATTCAAAAATACGAAATAAATCCAAAGTATAGTGTGATTTATAATGTGGGATACGGGCCAGTTTAAAGAGATGTGAGCCTCTGGTCATCTTGAATATCGTTTCTAACAATGTTTCGGTCCCCTACCTCCTACCAGACAACCTCTGTTCTCACTGGAACGTGCAAAACCCACCCAAGCTTGTAAAATCAATTGTCGCCCAGAAACAAGAGCAGTCGAGTTCCTTTGTTGCAATTGGGTAGAGGTAACCATGAAGTTGCTTGGGCTGCAGTATAAAAGCATGGGAATGTGTTTCTATGTGTGTTCATCTGGTCGCTCCACATTTGATTGGCCAGCAGGGGCTGGCGCACCCCCGCAGTCAACCCCGCCCAATCCCCTGCAAGAATTGTATTCACAAGGTTTCTGCGCAATTCTTTGTCAGGGTTCTGTGTATTAGCACACTCATTACGGTGTCTCAATGTGATGTTCACAGGTTATATTCAATCCAGCAAATGATGCTTGTAACAGCTGTATCAAATATGCTATTGAAGAGAGTGAAACATTGGAGATGCAGTCATCCTTAAAAAGCGGGAGGACCACTTCAGCTGTTCGGAAGGGGAGCAGTAGCCATGACTATTCCTGCTGATCAATGTAGCTGTGACTGGACAACCCCCTTGGGGATTTGCTGAACACATGTAGTTGCGCATTTTTTAATATGTTAGCATCTTTTGAAGCCACAAACTCCACCAAAATGTACTGGCAAAACCATGCTTTAATCTCCTACCCCCCACCGAAACATTGGTAAATCACATGACTTGACCTGGAGACCCAGCCAAAACATGCGGGCAATGTTGTGTATCTTTATCCCCCATTCCCTGCCAAAATAGAGAAAAGTTACGTGATATTCTACAACCCTAGCCAGAGTAGATACATCAAAATTTTGTGTAATCCACCCCTGCCCCTGCTCCCCCACCAGACCCCGCATCAGACCCCGCACCAGACCCCGCACCAGACCCCGCACTGGGCCCTGCATCAATTGCAATATCCAGTTACACATCTTCACCTTCCCTATTGGCTTTGTCTACCTTGATAAGATATTTCATAAATGTTTGTATTCTTGCCCTGGTGGTCAGCAGCACTACTGCTACGGCTAAAGGAGGTCAAATATAGAATATGCCAGACTGACCCCACGGCAGACCCCGCCAGATGATGGGATCAAGCGCATCAACAATCCTATTGTGCAGGGTGCATTTGGGGTTTTCTAAGCTCAAATGCATGGTCAATTAGTGTATTTACCTATGGAAATTATACTGGGATGATTTAGAGAGGCTTCCATTTTTTTTTTTTGGCGGAAAATCACGTGATTTTGCGCCCACTGTCTGCCACAACATGCAATCTATCAAGCAGCACCTCCAAAATCATGCCAAATGGTGCAAAAAGGGGCCCCCAAAAAGTCACGTGATAATGCGCCCACTGCCCGCTGCAGTGTGCGGGAGGGGCGGTAGCGCCCCCGCCAACGCCCCTGCCAACCCCCGCCATTTTGAAATTTTTCCTGCAGCTCATCACGTGATTTTCCCGCCATCCCGCCCATTTGGTGCATCATGTGATTGATTTTTTTTTTTCCCGCCCAGCTGCCCGCTCTTATGGACAAGTCACATGGTATGTATGGGCACCCCCGTCCTGACCCCCGTCCTGACCCCCGCCCATCCCCCTGCCCCAAAATGGCCAGCTGCCCCCTGTACCCCCGCGGGGGGGGACCTCCTGGGTACCCATAGAGCTACGTCTAAGGGTACCCAGGAGGTCCCCCGCGGGGTCTATATGGGGGGTTGGCGGTGGTAACTGAGGTGGTTTTGACAAAGCATAAGTGTCAAATTGATCTATTGAAGCAGAATTCAAGGGCCTGTGGGCTACCCAACACCTTTTTTTCTGCCCCTGGGAGGTTGTGGAGGCCATAAAGTTGTTGGCATAAACCATCCCTTCAGCAACATCTCATTTTTTGCATGTGGGCACAGCTACCTCATGCTCAATCTCAAATTAATATATATACTGTTGCTCTATGCACCTGAGGAGTGCTCATGTGCTCAAATCCCAAATTTTGTGTGCCCAGTGGTCTGCCATTTTCAGGCAAGAAATACAAGCTCTTGTGAGCTAAGACATTGTCTGAGACTTCATACTCACTACTACAGCACATATCAACGCTTGGGTCAATGCCTAGCCTACCATGCTGGCCGTGGATGAATGGCTAGGCAGAGTACCAATTAGGAAGGCACCTCCAGGATGGCCTCCAGTCAGGGGGGGTAGGGGGTGGTTTGATGGCCCAAGCAGTGCGAGGTTGATCGATGAAATGATACAGGATTCGGGTCCGTCGCTGACGGAGACATCGTACAATGCTCATTCGAGCCGGATTCATCGGCTCTTGATTGGTGTCTGGGCAGACCCTATGCCCGATATGGAGATGGGTTCTCGGGATTGACTGGAACGAGTTGATGCGATATGTCAAGTGTAATGATGCTGATTCAAAGCACCGCTTCACTGATGCACTTGCCAAACACGACAAGAGATGTGATTCTACAGTAATAGATGGTATTGTAAAGAATTTGACTTAATTGAAAGCAGAATCCGCGAGCACAGTATCTCGACCAAATACAGCAATGTAAGATGACAAAGGCATGCAAAGCATTCAGATATGCATGCAATTCAGAACGTTCAGTCTCGAGCTCTGACCTACAGATCATGTGCCTTTCCGGTGGGTCGCGGGTTTGAGCCTGACCAGTAATTCACTCGTTTATTTGGCCGAACCATCAAGAGACGATCTGGGGCGCAGGTGGAGGCTGTGGGCAGTGACATCTGGGCCCACAAGTGGTGTTGAATGAGCCAACACATGTACGCTGATAGTGAGAGTGCCACTATGTGGCTGGAATAATTACTATCTTATCTATGCTCTCTAAAAATAAAATACTCCAAGTTCGAACACCAAGAATCGAACACATACCCTTACGCGTGTTGATTGGTGCACGTGATCTGCAGGAGTCAAGTGTTTTCATGCGCTCCAACAACATCAGTGATTAATACTCAACTCAGCTATGGTGATGAAATAGGAGAATCTACAGCACACAGCAGTCCTTCTACGCATATATAAACCGGGCAAGTGGTCTAAACGTTCAGCATTGAGCAGAGGTGCGGCCCGACTGCATTGATGCGAATCGGCTAGATGCGTGAGCACGTGCCATCTTGAAAGTGGTTGGCTGGGTCCTATCACCCGAACCGGCAGCTATCTCCGATGGGAAATAGGCTTGAAAACCTATTGACCCCACGTGATGCAACTTTTCAAGGGCTCATTGGGGACGGGGAGACGCTTCTGGCACTGATACTCTGGGTCAAAATGCATGTAACTACAACAAAAATGCTATGAATCTCTCCCTTTTCCCTCTCTTTCCTCATCTTGAAAAAACTTGAAAACACCCCCGTCTGCCCAGAGATAGGACATGAGCCGATTCATCCAGTGATCGACCTAAACATCACGATTCCGAGTGGTCCTGGGGTTTTGCCAGGGCAATAGTATAATTTGATACCGCTCCCGTTCTTACTTCCGCGAGTAGTTGCTTCAACAAGCTTGTGACCTCGCCCATGTTCCCTTCGAGTCCCCGCAGACGCTCCTCGACAGATTGCTGGTACATTGATAGCTTGGTTTCGAGCTCTGACAAGCGTTCCTCGACAGTGAGCACCGGCGCCTCTTCCTTCTCATGCACCCGCACAAGATCGTGGTCGTAGAACGAATGTCCGTCCAACTTCGTGTCGCCTTTCGCATCGCATCCGGAGCAGATGAAGCTGGGTTCTGGGCACTGGACACAAAACCAGCAGGGTTGTACGACGGCTTGCTTGCACAGGCGGCACCGAGCAGGCGGAGTCGAGCTGGCCAGGAGAACTCGCGCTTGTCCAACAGCTGCCTTCGCGGCCCGATACGTGTTTCCGAACTGCCGTCTATGCAGCACATGCCGGACTTTGAGCAGGTCGTGGTGCGGCAAGTGTGGTTTGTCCATGTCTTCTCGCATCACCCGTCCAGCAATGCATTCTTCAACTTCGTGCAGGTCGATCGTATTCCATTTGTTGTTCTCCTTCGTCTGACACTCCAGACAGATAACGCGCGCGCCGCCGATGACGGTGCGGCAGGTGTCACAGATGCTGAACCGGTGGCTGACGATGTGACGGTACTCTTGTTCCACGAGTGAGTGATAGAATCGCGAGTCGGCAGAGGTCATCCGCTGCTTCAGAAGAGAAAAAGAGACGACCTCTGCCTTGGTTAGAGATGGTCCGTAGGGGATATTGGTTGTTCCTCCGCCACTCCGGATCGACAGCTTCACAAACTGTAGTCTATGATCCCGACGCCCTTTGAAGTAGGACCATGCCCATCGGCTTCTCTGCACGTCCTGTCTGACTGCTTCAATGGCAAACCTCCACAGAGCGCGTGACCGGCCGTCTTGCAATTGGGCAGGAGTTGGCGCGAGCGCGAGATACCGCGGATCCATCTGGCGATACACGAACGTAGCCATATGGTCCACTGGGTCATCACTAAGGCCCAGAGTCCCGGACATGATCTGTGCGTCTGGATCCCAGGTCCCATAATAGTAGTGCGGCGGCAGACGCGTTGAAAAAAAGCGCGTAAACTTGAGTCTCAACGTCGACAGATGGCATTCGCCTTCCACAGTGAAGTCTATTCCGTTTGCACGATCTGACGCTGAGAAGAACTGAACGTCGCCGTTGAATGATATCGGCTGCAGAGTGAATGAGACCATCCCGGCCAAGGAGTATCGGGGGTTTGAAGACTGGTAAAAGAAACCGTGCCAAGTTGATGTGAACAGCTTCTCGCAGCCGGCGAGCGAGACTCCAGATCCCCCCGGCCCTCTCGCGGCTGGAATGCTATACGCCGCCAAATCAAGCTCCTCTACGCCAAGAGGATAGTTGAGGATCTGAGAAATCTCCGGCAACTTTGACTGCTCTGATTCGTCGTACTGGTAGGCTTCAAACTGGCTGTGATGCTTGTCAGTCCATCGAATGTGTCCGTACCACGATCTCAGCGAACCTGTCTTGGACAAGCTTTTCGTCCCAAAATAGAGTGGGTTCGTTGAGGTATCTGAAAAGAGCAAAGGAAAAGGATTTGAATTGTTGTTGAAGATCGAGTTTCTGTTGCTTGAAGATCGCTGTCGAGCGACGTCAGTAAGATTGGAAGTCATCTGCTGCGATCAAACAGGAGTTACTCTGAAGATCGTCTAACCGGGCTTTGACGGCGTCAAAAACGTAAATCACAGTGTCAGCAGCATCCCACAGCTCATCCGGATGCACGACATGAGTCTGGCATACTCGGAAGATCTCCAAGTGCCTTTCGAGTAGGAGGAACAATACGGGGAAGAGATACTGAGACAGATCAGTGTGCGGAAAAGAGAGGATATAGGCCGACTATGTACTTTCTCGATACATCCCTTGCCTTGAAAACCAATGAGCAGATTATCGAACAAGCTCTGGACCACAAACCCGTAATGAGTTTTAGAGTGCTTTCCGCGTCGATACTGGCAAGCCCGTCAGATCGCCTGATCGGACTACTCAATAGGCACTAACTCATATCTAATCGCTTCTAGATTGGCTGCACGATACGCAGTGAGTCGCTTTTCCACAGACGACAAGTGGCAGATCCAACCTCGAAGCCTTGCTTCCTCCATAATCACGTAATTTTCAAACTTTTTCTGCCAAGCAAGGTCAGTCGGGATCTCAATCGAGCAACTCACGACGAACCTGGAGTGACAGATGCGGAGAGCACGTATCCAGAGAGCCGACAACCGTCATGACACTCCATTCAATGGTCGTCAAGTACTGGTTCACAGCAGACTTGTTCGCAGGCAGGATGTGCGGGAGAATTCCGTACAGCTTCGCGGTGATCAAGTTGATCTTGTCTTTATACGTCTGAATCGTCTGGTGATGGCCAGCAGCCCAGTATGCGATCCATCGGGGGAGACTGTGGGGGTAATCTGGGCATCAGATCGTTGAGCGGCGTATCACAAGCTAGCTGACCTCCAACCCAACGGTCGCGATGCGGTGAACTCGTTTGCCTCTGAGACAGTGACAAAGCCTGAAGCGTCGTCATCAAATGCTTCGGAGATGGGCTGCAGACAGAGCACGCTGCGAGGGTCTCAGTATCCCACACGCCGCGCGAAGCGCAAAGATGGATGAATAGCACAGCTGCTCACTTAAAGTACTCAAGTGCCCATGCATCTGCTTTGTCGGCTTCAGTGCGATTGACTTGACCGACTTGCTCTTGAAAATGATCGCGGAGCGCCATCACGAAATGGCGTGTCTTCACACTACCCCGCCATCCCATGTCTTTCCAGACCGCATAGACATTCTTGTGACCCGCCCGTCAGCTTCAACCCAAAAAGCCGGTGGTGTGCAGACAAACCGGATCAATTATTCTATCGTGTGGACCGGCATTGATGGCACTGATAACTCGATCGCCTTCGCGCTCAATGACTTTGGAGAGATCATCACTGGTGTTGTCAGCAGCGAGCTTCTGGCCGAGGACAAGAACTCACATGATTTGACGAGTCTGCACATCGAGCTTGCGAGAAAATGCGTCCTTGTTCGCGTCGATGGCAAGCTGTGGATCTGACTCCAACTCGTCTTTGAGGTCGTCCAGGCCATAAGCCCTGCGGACGTGAGTTGGCTCGCCGCTACCCGTGATTTTCTCCTCGAGAACACTGAGCTCCTGAAGAGCTCTGTCACTGCGCACAACCGAATCCTGTCCGCCTCTTCTGTCGATCATACGAGCCATTTCCTCCTGCTCAGGCGTCATTAAACTCTTGAACAGCTGCAGCATCATGTCCATCTTCGCGTTCATCGCCGTCGTCGTGTGATCGACCGCACCGATGAGTTTAGTTGCCACATCAACACCCACTGCAGTGTGGATAGACAGCGCGAATTCGAATTCGGACCGGCGTTTGGTGAATGTACCTGCGAATGCCACCAGTTTCCCGTCCCAGATTGGACCTTTCAGAATTTTGACTGTAGGTTCCGATGAGAGATGAACTCATGAGATGAAAGAGCACAGACCGATCAGCTTCTTCTTGATGTATGTGTCGCATGCTATGGAGTGGTGTCAGAGCTAATCCCAGAGCTGCGGGGTATAGAGAAGCGGATAAGATGCAGTGTGCACTGCCACCCGTCGATCATTTGCGTACTAGGTGTTGCGGCGAACCTCTCTCATTCGGCGCATGCGCATCTGCAAGCCATTGAACGTCAAGCATTGGACATACCATTGGCACAGGCCTTGATGTCGTCCGCGGTCTCTTTGGCGATAACTTGCACTCTACCTTTGATAGTCGACCCGTCGGGTGCCACTTGATCAGCGTCCTTCACATTTCTCATCCTGTGCAAACAATCAGTACGTAGCTGGTTCCGTGACTGCAGCAGAGGTTACTGCAGAAGAGCCCCCATCATATCTTTCATCTCCATATGCAACTGTGGGTGGAGCGTAGCATCAGTTTCTGGACCGCTCAAAGAGGGTGGGCCCGGCCACGCACCGCGACAATCTTCCTGTCGTTGTCCCTCCGCTTCTGTTCCAACGCCCAAACCGCCTTGAACGCCATCACCGCGACTGATGCAATACCGCTCAGGATATGCTTCGTCACGAAACGCAAAACCCACCTCCGATGAACCTATACCACAATCAGCGCGACGATCAGAGTGCACGAACGCAACACACGGATGTAGCTTCGCGACCTCATCCAACGCGCTCATCAGCACCGGCATCCCCTCCATGAACGTGTTCAACCCCTTCTCGATCACTTGCATCGCGCCCACGGCATCCAGCCCTGTCTCGACGCCCTGCACGAATGCGACGGGCTGTGCGCTGTCATCCATCGCGCCAGTCACCGATTCCTCGACCTTTTTGAGCATCTGGTCTGCCTTGTTGGCCTTTGGGTCGGCAGATGCGGATGCCCATGCGTCGTTCAATTTCTTCGAGAGGGCGTCCTGTGGTTCTGGGGGAGCTGCTACAGATGCCGCTGGGATGGGCGGCAGAGGAGGGATGCTTGCCGCGCTCGACGTCGAGGAGGATTGTTTGTGCAGGCTCTTGGAGCTCAGCTTCTTGAGAAGTCGGGGCATGGACATGTTGGAAGAGAGTCCTGCCTGCTGGTCTACTACCCCACAGCACTTAAGTTCGCGTTCAGATTGGGCTGAAGCATCTTTGTTGGGACTAGCAGTTCCTGGCCATGGACACTCGGTTGCAATTCAGTCTGTGGTATGGATCTTTCGAAACCCCGGAGCCTGGGGATGTTCGAGTGCTCAGATGACCGCTTGCAAATTGCAATCTTAAATGTGATTAACTACAAATCAACTATCAGACGCGAAAAGTTCGTCGAACATGAAGCCTGAAAAGTATTCTAATCTTTGAGATTTAGGTGGATCTGAAAGGGATTGCATATGCGACAACATACTCTGTACCGATAATCCTGTGGCCTCTCCAGGGGCAAATGTCAAAGGAATGTTATCGTTGACAGATTGCGAATTGAGAGATTCACATGCGGTGTCACGGATAGCCCTCACCGTCCCGACCCCGCGGGCGTCATCTTCACGGCGCAGTTCAATCTCGTCCAGACGGCGTGCAACTGCACCGGCGGCGCCTGCCTGGTCAGTTATGGATCATGGCTGTGGCCTATGAACGCGTCGATTCCGCCGGGAGTCCAGAATCCCGGTTACGATAGCTCGTCCTGGACGGCTGTGACCACGGACGGAAGGTGCGAACGGTGTTGCTCTCTGGGGAGCAGTTGCTGTTTCTCCGTCGACGGGGACCCTGAATGCTTTTTGTGAATCGCGATCCTGTAAAATTTGGTTGGTGCACGTTAGGAATGCGGCTTTCGCAGACTTTTTATGAAGAGTCCGTGCTCATGTTGCTCGCTATACGTATAATACAGTGGTAGTAAACAAGGATGGTCATATGTAGGCTAAATAAGTGGAAAACGACTCTTCACATCCCGCCACTTACGAGCGTGACAGACCCAGCAGGAATGTTCTCGGGATGGAGCCGCTTCTGTGTCTGGCGGCGGATCGATTTAGCATGGCCTCGGTGTGATTCCTGCTGATCGGCTGTCTGAACGTCCGACACACTCGTGTCCAGGACCATCAGGGCATCCAAGTTGGTGATAAATCCGCCGCCCTCAATCACGGCCCAGAGAAGCACCCGGAAAAGCCCATCCTCTTCTGCGAGACAGTCCTTGGGATATTTGTGGATGAAACCAGACGCAGCTTCGACAAATCGATGTTGCAGTTTGGTCGGGAGCGCCGACGAAATCTCGTCGACTGCGTGACGAACGGATTTGAGTGTCGCCAAGTCCTGGCCGCGTTCCGTTTGATCCGGACTCCGGGCGGTACTATGCTCGAGGAAGGTGGTCACAACATGCACACATGCACACTCATAAACTTCCTGTGCCGACGCCCGCTCCGTCTGTTGATCGTCGTCATAGCCGATCACAGAGCGGAACCAGCCCTCATCGTTGAAGAGATCCGGCAATTTCCCCCATTGCGACAAATCCGCAGATTTCGACAAATCCTCCCGGAAACATCTGAGCACAACGGACTGGACGACGGCCGTCAAACGGTGCGTGCGGATGCCGGCCGCCCGAGTCTGCAGAGTGCCGAGGACCCGGAAATGGGTTTCGAGGTCCCTTGGTGGCGAACGAGTGGCGAGCAGATACTCGTAGATCAGCCGGAGGGCGTCGACACTGGCCTGAGGATCGAATCCCAGCTCCAAGTTCTGGCACAGAGTGTGGCTTGGAAATCGGGTGTAATGATGCTCCGGCCCGGGCTGTGAGTCGGACTTTGACCCAGAGACGGCGAGGGAAGGAAATCGAAGAAGGAACGGCCCAAGATGCCACAGGGACAAATACGGCGGCCCAAGACCCTCAAGATCCCGCCACCTGGCTGGATAGTCCGACGTCTGGGCAAACGCGCTGATGATCTGGCGAGCAGCAAAAACGAAATTGTCCGCTGTCTCGTCCGCCGTCTCATCCGGCGCTGAATCTATCAGCAGTTGGAGAGCGTCTTGAAGATTTTCGAAGCCGTCCGATCTCGTCAAGTGCGCTTGTGACCGATGAAAGAGTGAACTGGTCTGTTCCCGCTGGAAGCTGGCGCGGCATTTGGAAAGTGCCAACAGATAGTCCACATACGTCCGTTGCATCGATTGCCGCTGCTTCTCAGCTTGGGGCCGCATACGACTACTGGGCTGTATGAGGGTTGCCTCGATCATGTTCAGACGGATCAGAGCGGACACGTCAGGCACCATGCTCTGCACGGCTGGAGAATCGAGAAACTTCGAGCCGAGCAGCGCGTTATCCACGCCAGCATCTCCGATCGGACTGTGCAGAGGTGACCCCGTGTGAAGGGAGAACGCGCAAATAGCCCACACGGCCTGGAGCACAGACAGCTGGCGGCGACTGCGCTCCTTGTCGTCAAGCAGATTGCTGTTAGATCCAGCCATGAAATCGGCCAGACGCTGGCCGAGATGGACATCCGCATCCTGCAACAGACTCTGGAAATGGGCCTGATACACTGAGCGTGGCCTGTTTTCATCGAAATCCCACAGCGCCTCGGGGAGGCCCTGCACGAACGGCAGCAACTTGTGATCATCAGATAGGGACTGCACGGTCCACGCAAGCGCCTCGGTCTCTTCCTCGACATCGGGATGCAGTGCCGCGCGTTTCGACCTCTGTAGAACAGCGTTACCGCTACGAGTCTCCGGAAACACGTGGGCCTCGAGGTCGGCTTCAGCAACTCTCTTTCGAGCATACGCCATGCAGATGAAAGCCGCCAGTCCGGTCCCCAACTGTTGTTTCAGCGGCAAAAGTATCTGCGTCAGTGGTGTGTGGAATGGAATGTTGGGATAGAACAGGGGGAGGACGGTGAATGTCCCATAGACAAAGACAAAGAGGAGAAGCACGGCGGAGCATGTGCCCATGATGATAGTGTTGACAGGCACAAGAAATGCGACCAGACCCGCAAAGAACAGGACCAGTGCCACGTGCAGGAAAAGCAGCGGAGCACGGACAACGACGTGCATATTGAAGCGTCGGAACCCATAGTTGAGATACATGGACGCGCGCGAGAGCACAGAGCGCGAGGAGAGCATGACCACGCGGTGCGGGAACTCCTGCGCCCACTGCTTGATCAGCGTCGCGACGAGAGCGCACGATAGGCTGAGTGTGAGGCTGATGAACCAGAGTGCGTTGCATATGAGAGAGGAGATCGGGGGTGAGAAGGCGGTGGCGGCTCCCGGGAGTGCGTCCGCCGCCGCCGCACCATTGTTCAGATTCGCGGACGGGTGCAAGATCGGGTTGAGGGTCTGGTCGGTCGGGTTCGGGTTCAATGTCTTGTAGCTTTCGATGATGAATATCGTGAGGACGCCAGAGAAAAGACCAGCCTGGCGATTCCAATCAGAGAATGGCTAGGACTGAGAAAAGAGAGGGATGCAGACGCACAAAAGTCAGCAGACCTTCCATCTCGCTGCGCCAGCCATGGATGAGATCCTTTTCGTAGATCTGTGACTCGGAGATGTACACAGTCCAGAGCTTGTTCCCGCTGGCCCTCTCGCGCTCGAAAGTTGCTTCATCGGCCACTCGTTTCTCAGCCTGCAGTCCGTCAGCTTGTGACATGGTCAAAGGCAGGAGGGAAACTGCTCTGCCTCGAGGTCAACCAGCGATTCTTTATGCATGCTGCCTCATTGGAGCAATGCCTCGGTGCACAGCTAGCAAGCTCTCACCGCCTGAGTGGCGGATTCAGACACTGTTTTACAGGCACTCGAGGAAGCCCACCTAGGCTTGGACGGCACCGAGATTGGCGCCGGCGACGCATGCCAAGAGTGTGCCAGCGGCGCTTCCAGGAGATGAAAACACTCGTAAGACAGCGTCATTTCCAGGAGGCGCACGTGTGTCGATTAGTCGCCGTAAAATCGCAGAGGGCAGATAGGAAGCCGTGACAATCCAATGAGCCGCGTGGTATCGCAAGAATTCGCGTTGTCATAGCCAATCTGACGTTCTTTCCGGCAGTCCAGAGCTCTGACCTTCTCAACCTCGGCCGAGATGGGTCTCCCCCCGTTGTGAACAGCGCTCAAACGCGCTACAGCGACATCAGGTGGACGGACGTTATTCCCCATGGATTCAGGTACGTCCATCCTCAGAGTGATGCAGTTCGTGAAACCGGTTGTTGACAAACGCCGCTTGTTCGAGTGGGTTGGAAGAAACGCATGCTGTCACACCACATCAAGTTAGTCACAAGTCTTGAATGCGATATCACTGCTGCTGCAGTCCTGCAGCAACAACAACAACATTCTGCATACCCGTTCTCTGTCGACGCGTCTAGGATCACCTCGGACTTCACGACCGGTCTTCTCGCACCATACGAGTAGACAACACCTCTCCATGAGCTATACCTTGCGCCGTTCTCTGCCGCGCACAATCTGAATCCGGCAGAAACAGTCGTCCCACACATACATAGGTGCTGCGAGAGATTCGGAGTGCTATGATGCTCTTCATTGAGCATCATTGCCACTCGGGCCAGTCTTTGGGGGCCCCACAAGACTCGCAGAGGAGCAGACGCTGGGGTTGATGGTAGTATGCTCTCCAGCACACCATCGAGAGCATCTGAGATGTCTTCGAGCTTGCTGAAAAACTAGCACAGAGCATACATAGGCCGTTTCATCACACTTCAGCTTCGGGGTCAAATTCTGCGGCATTAGATTGGCCTGCGTCGATGAAATGCATCGTGTTCGGTCTTGCCTAATCTGAGGATCCTCTTCCCAGACCGTCACTGTCGTAGACGGGCTTCCAAAGCACGCAAGGTCCAGAAACAGCGCGGTCTCTTCTGGGAGCTGTTGATCGCCGCTCGTTGGCAGGTGGGCAGGCTCGCTTTCATTTGCTCTTTGTCGGTGCTCATTCCAACTCTCAGGCCATCGTGACGCGTCGGCTGCCGATATTCTCGCTCCCTTTCATTCACTGCGAGCGTCCGCAGGACGTCGGACAGTCAGGTCGAGTGTTGCACCCCTCAATCTGAGAACACGTCCCTCGAGATGGGATCCGTTTCATGAGTCTACGAGTGGATATCGACAATGTAGCGTCATTTCGGTGCGTGCCCTCAGTTAACCGCTGTGTCCATCTGATCAACACATCTAATCAAGAACCTACTCACTAAGTCGACGCCTGCTGAGGTCGTGGGCCCGGGCAGTGCGAGTTTGATCTTTGCTTCAGCAAGCTTGTGACCTCGCCCATGTTCCCTTCGAGTCCCCGCAGACGCTCCTCGACAGATTGCTGGTACATCGAGAGCTTAGTTTCCAGTTCCGAGATGCGTTCCTCGACAGTGAGCACCGGCGCCTCTTCCTTCTCATGCACCCGCACAAGATCGTGGTCGTAAAACGAATGTCCGTCAGACTTTGTGCCGCCTTTCGTATCGCATGTAGAGCAGATCAAGCTGGTTTCTCGGCACTGGACACAGAACGAGCAGGGTTGTACGACGGCTTGCTTGCTCACGCGACACTGAGCAGGGGGAGTCGAGCAGTCCAGGAGAACTCGCGCTTGTCCAACAGCCGCCTTCGCGGCTCGATAAGTGTTTCCGAACTGTCGTCCATGCAGCACATGCCGGACTTTGAACAGGTCGTGGTGCGGCAAGTGTGGTTTGTCCACGTCCTCTCGCATCACCCGTCCAACGATGCATTCATTCTTCAGATTCGTGCAGGTCGATCGTATAGTCTCCCTAAGGCAGACGTTGCGCTCAGCCCACTCGCGCCTCACAGTACCTGGTCTGACAAGTACCAAAAGGCCTTGTGAGTAGTCAGTCTGCTTCAAGGAGACTAGTTTGCCGGTCAGAATCTACAATAGTATTGTCACACCTATTTACACGAAGCACCTGCCCAGTGCCAAGTCTTGACTTGCGTTCTTCTCGTAAAGACTGAAGAAAACAGGAACAGCTTACCCAGCATAGTTTTGGACGTGCAACATGGGAGAGAGCAACCGTCAGTTAAAGATCAGGCACCCAGTTGTCAAACCCACTGGCGAGGTGCCTGGTTCAGGATCCAGATCTATTTTATTGCTTTCGTATATCAATGTGTTGGATCAATGCTGAAAAATGTGCGGTCGACTTAAGCAGGCATGAACAACTCGGATTCCGGGCCCAGGTCAAACGGACTCAAACCTCAAGCCAGCGGATTGACCGATCAGACGCCGTGCGGAACTCGTCGCAACTTGACATGATGCACTTGATTGTGATCTTTAGCGGCTTTCCTCTATACTACCTAGCACATACGCGATGGACTGGGCGCTCTTTTCCGATAAACGTCTCATTCGGACACCACCACCACCACCACTATGCCCATACCTCCCTTGCTCAAGAGGCTGAGTGCCAAATCTCTCCGAAAACGGACGCAATCGCCGTCGCGCTCAGCAACCTCGACTCCGACTCCTCCCAGAAGCGACACCCCGCCCGTGCCTTCTTTGGCGCAGAAGCAGATATCGGCAACCGTGATCATACCTACACCACCTCAGACGCCTCCGGCTCTCGCATCGATCCCCCCGGATGACGCGCTCTCGAAAGACCTGCAAGGTGCATGGGCATCCGCCAACGCAGCGCCGAACACGAGTCGAGCCGATCGACTGCTGCTTGCGGCAGAGAATGCGGGCAGCGCCGCCGTATCTACGCAGACCCAGGCCGTTCCGTATGTAACAGGCGTCAAGACGGCATTGGATGCTGTGGGCGGGCTGGAGGTCATTGAGAAGGGATTGAACACATTCATGGAGGGGATGCCCGTGCTCATGAAGGCCTTGGATGAGGTTGCTAAGCTACATCCGTGTGTCATATTCCTTTGAGCTTTTCTGACTGCTGCTAACGCGGCGTGGGCCTCAGATTCATTGGAGGTCTGTGGCAATAAATCTACGCTTGCTCTGCAGCTGATCTTTGTACTTCAGTTGCCGTTATGGCTTTCAAAGCCGTCTGGGCACTGGAGCAAAAGCGCAGAGACAACGACAAGAAGATTCTGGCGGTCAGAGAACTTCGCTCTTCATCTTTGCTGCTCTTGCTAACGTTCGTCCAGCTGCACATGGAGATGAAAGAAATGATGGGTGTACTCACTCAGTGTGTAGGTCTCTTTCGGGTCGAGGCATTAGACTTACAGACTATCAGGCTCAGGAATGTTAAAGACGCGGATGAGGTTGCTCCAGACGGATCGACAATAAAAGGGAGGATGCAGATTATCATTCTAGCCACCGCAGAGGACATCAAAGCCTGCGCGAACGGTAAGAACAACCACGTTGTCTCTTAGAGGAAAACTCAAATAGAATATGTGTAGCATGCGACACGTACTGCAAGAAAAAGCTGATAGGTCGGCCCAATCCTCCTTGCCTTCGTCAGCTTATCACGCCCGCTGACTTTGCATAGTCAAGGTTCTCAAGGGTCCAATCTGGGAGGGCCGTCTCGTTGCCTTCGTTGGCGCATTCACCAAGCGCCGGACCGAGTTTGAATTCGCTCTCTCGATACACACTGCGCTCGGCGTCGATGCTGCTACTCGACTCATTGGCACCGTCGATGACACAACTCAGGAGATCAATGCGAAGATGGACATGATGCTCAAGCTCTTCCAGAAGCTGGTGCCACCCGAGCAGAGGGAGATGGCGCAGATGGTCGAGAAAAAGGGGGGCCAGAGTGTTATGGACAACGACAAAGCGCTCAAGGACTTGAACGACTTCGAAAACAAGATGCTCGCAGCCCAGGGTGGAGGCCCTGGCCATGGCGGGAAGGCCGTCAAGACCCCGGATCTGAATGATCTGAAAGAAGAGTTGCATGGCGATCCACAGCTCGCTATGGATCAGAACATGACGGTCTTTTCAAGGAAGTTTGAAGTGCAGAAGAGGCAGATCATGTAAGTTGGTCAAGCTCTTAACGAGATTCGAGACATTGAATTGCCGCATAACAGTGACGAACTCTCGAGAGTCGTCGAGCGCGAAGGCGACAGAGTCATCAGCGCCGTCACTGCCGGCCCCCATGACAGAATCATCGATCCCGTACGCCTCACTCTCTTTTCCGACTGTTCGAAGCTGACATTCAACCAGAACGTGCATATGATATGGAAGGAGATGGGCTGGCGAGGCAGTGTCAAAGCCCGCCACTTTGTCATGGCTCTCCGGGATCATTTCCAAGAGCACACAGACCACGTGCAAATAGAGCAGACTGAAGTATGGGCTTTGGAATATCTCAGGTGTGTGTCTTCCAAACCGCGTGCTCCTTGCCGTTCTCAATGACTTCAGTATCACCCGGATCCAGGCAATCTCAGAGGCATTCGATGACGATGCGTCGGGGTTCATCACAGTTGCTGAAGCAAACGATTTCACTACTGGGCGACCTCTGGATTGGAGGTGCGGATCAGCGTACGAGCAGTCATGAATCGCGTTCGATAACTATATCAGTCTCCCCCGTTGGATCGCATACTGGGCAGTTGGACAGCACCAGACGACCCTGCTTTACGCTTTCAAGATCCGCGATCTTCTGTCCAAGATGTTTAGTATCCTCCCTCACGCTTTACCCGAAAACAAATCTGCCGCAAACTCTTATATGGATGATGTTTACTACAGCATCTGGACCGTCGTCTCCTCTCTGACATCGTGCAACGTCAATCTTGCACTCCAGGTCCGCCATCGCCGCTGCCGCTTCACACACGCTGATATTAGGACAGAGCAAGTTTGAGTCTTACGTCGAAGATGAAGAAGCTCGGTTGAAAGGTCAGTGCGCTCCAGTTCGAAGCAGTTGAGTGTGCTGATTTCTGTTGTCCAGCGAATCTGGAGGCTATCAAATACGAGTGGAGTGCCTGTTTCTTGATCTGCGCTCTCATGTGTTGACTGCTTCTGCAGCATTGATGCAGATGACACCTTGGAACTGATAACTGGCCGTGGCCGGATCGACAGAGTATGTGATCAGTCTCTTTCGGGGACTGGAACGATTGACCGGTTTTGAAAGTATGTTTTCCCAGTGATATACCTCTTGCTGGAACGTCATTTCGAGATCCTACGTCTTTGTCAAACCAAGGTTGTGCATCCAGACGAGCTTTGGGATGCTGCAGACACAATAGTTTGGGTCTTCGATGCCATCGGGGCGAGGTTTAGAGAACTTGAGAGTATGTGGACTCCGGATGGGATTCGATATGGCTCACATTTGCTCTACAGGTATCTTCAAACAACAGAACCTTGACCTGAAGCAACAATTCAAGACATTCGCGTTCGGGATGTACGAGTATGTCAACGAACCGAATCTTCTTTGGGCTCCAAAGCTGGTGCAAGAAGCGTGCGTTGTTCTGCTCTCCCTGTGCTGCACAACCTGACCACCTCACAGCGACTTCACCGAATTTCCGTACAATGATGCACTCGAAGGCGACCTTCCGGATGCTGCAAATATCCTCAATTACCCTGTGGACCAGGATGACCTCGACTACGCAGCCTATTCCTTGGACTCCTGTCCCTCAGCACCAGCCGAGACGGCTCTGCCGGGATTCGAAGACCTCTTCTCGGCGACGTGGCATGGTTTCCTGTACATGAAGGAGAACCCAAGCAGACCGTCGTCCGGGATGATCTCATTGGATTTGAAACCGACCCACTCCGAGGCAGGGATTCAACTGTTTGCAACATCCGGTCGCGCCAATCGAAGTGACTTCACCTTGTCTGGAGAATGCGATCCTTCGACGCACTCCCTCAAGTTCAAGCGGTCGTTCCCCGCACGCCTTCGCGCGCAATATTTCAACGGGACCTGGGATCCGGCTGCGGAGATGCTGTCGGGGACACTGGGCTTCGAGGAAGATCCCAACACTCATTCGGCGACATTCGTGTTCAAAAGACTCGCACCTCAGCACACCAGATTCTTGCCGTCTCCGGGCGAGCTCGAAGACAGTCGCCCGCGGGCGTTGTGGAAGTTTGCCATCAGTGCTGTATCCGATGACATTGGGCGGGATCGATGGTCTTGGAGCTATTTCAAAGCGCGGAAGGAACGGCGATTGCGATTCATTGAGCTGTACATCCGCAGCGCGGCAGGGAGTGCGCAGTCGGGGCGGCCGCTGAGCAGTGCGGAGTTCGCGGAGTTCGCTGAACTCAAGAGAATGACGACGGCTGATTCGAGGTTTTACCATTCGCTCGCTGAACGGACGATCCGCAACCTACTCGCGCACGATTGTCGATGCGATGCCTGTGACGGGGACATCGGCGGGGCACGAGTGAGCTGTTTGGAGTGCCAGATGAAGGACACGTGGAATACGGTCGACTTTCACGAGTCTCCAGAGTGTATGGACGAGCGGGTAACGCGCGATGATATGGAGAGGCCCCATCTTCCACAGCACGATTTGGTGAAGACCCGGCGCGTTGTCCACATGCGACAGTTTGGCAAGACGTTCCGCGAGGCCAAAGCTGCAGTCACAAAGGCGCGGTCCTTGTTATCGGACGAGAGTGAGCCCCGTGTTTGCCGGATGTGCAAAGTCGCGGTCGTCCAGCCCTGCTGGTTTTGCGTCCAGTGCGAGGAGCCAACTTTCCTATGCAGGGCATGTGACGAGAAGGGCGAGATTGCGCTCGAGGGCCACGTTTATCATGAGCATGACCTCGTTCGTCTGGTGGAAAAGTCAGACGAAGACACGATGACGGTCGAGGAGAGATTCTCCGCACTCGAATCCCAATTCACAGTGTATCAGAAGAGCGTCGAGGAGCGCTTGCAGAAGCTGGAAGATGCGGTCGACGGAAGATTGGTGCGAGTGGAGAAATTGTTGGAGCAGTTGTTGGCACGGTCCACCGAGTCGGTGTGAGGCGTCCCACAAATATGTATTGTAATATATTTTTGTGCACATGGAGGCTATCCGTGACACCGCGTGTGAATTTGCCAACCTTTCAGATCGAAATCTGTCAACGATGACATTCCTGTGCCACTTCCGCCTTCAAGGTTGAAGTGCTGCAAGTAATTGCTAATTCTTTATTCAACTTGGAGATCCATGATTATGTTGTTGATTACTCTACAAGGGCTACAGATCACAGTAGGCAGGATGTCCATTTCAAAAGTAAGGTTGTCTAGTCCAAGTCCATTGTCTGCGCACAGATGTCCAGATAATCCGCAAAAGAAGTGTAAATTGTGCTTCCCGATGACGTGAATAGATCAATCAACGCAGGGGTCTCCTATAGATCGAATATTGAAGATTAGTGACAATTGATCAACGCGCTAGAGACTATACTCACTCCACCTTTATAGACCCACTCTGAGAGCAAAGTGCAATCAGCCTTCAGCTGAAGCCATATTGCAGTTAGAAACCCAAGAAGCGCCTCGGGAATGAGGAACTGGTTGGGGATCATTTCAGACACGGCGACTCGGGCTATTGACAACATATTGGGGGTACGCGTGGCTATTTGACAGGCATACTGAGCGTGTGCAAGCTCATCAAGGTTTGCTGCAAATTGAGTGAGATTCTGTCGAAAGATCAGGAAAGAATCTCACCTTGGATCATCTGCGAGCATTGCGAGATGTGTGATATCGAACCGTCTACAATCTGGATGGAGTGAAGTTCAAGCGTTGGAAAAGCTGACCATTATAACTCACTGGGGGATATTTGTCCAATTTAGTTCTCGCGGATCGTTTTCCAGCACACATGATCAATCGGAACGTGGTCCACACGAGATGTGATGCATTCGGGCATACGAGCGTGGCCCTCTACAGCTCAATTTCAGCGAGGAACCCAGCAATACGATGATTTACGTGCAGTGCTGTAAAGACTGCCGCAAACATGAGCCAAATGCAATAGAGACAGCTGCGACAGCACTCGCCTATCAATGCTGTTTTTCAACAGCGACACTTTCTCAACCAGATCATACAATTCCTTTTGAGCTCCGCGGCCTTGGAGAGTCTCCAGGCGTGAAAGTTCGGAGATAAATTCGGAAACCGCAGAATTTAGGCTTATGGCACGGTGTGTCAACTGGAAGGTGAATGTGGCTTGCTCTGCAGAGTTCTGCGGGGTTGAGCCAGGTACAGAAAACCGGGAGAACATGAGATATATATAAACTTACCGACATGAAGGACTGCAATACGTGCGTCTTTTCGTTGTAAGACCGCTGGTTCAAGCAGGGCCGGCATGCAAGTGGCAGAATTACGGAAGAAAACACTGAGAATGAACATTGAGCAGTTTCAGAGAATTCCAATTGACTAGTCACTCACTCCGGATCCTCGCCGAGCAATTGAGTGCATTGACGCGCAGCAGCGAGACGAGCTCGATGAACTCCTGAATATCACATCCAAATGAGTCAGCCAGCGGCATCCAAATATCACGCTCATCAGCAACCTTACGGATCCGTTTCCATCTAGCAGTCATATATCCTTCAGGAAGTGTCCGTGTGCACGAAACTAAGGCACGCACTGGGGTTTCACGGGAGGAATGATGGCTTGAAGATCCAGAGAATGCAGCTGGACCGAGATGTTGTCGAAGCTTTGGACGAGCTTGATCAATGAACGAGCAAGGTTCTTGCAGGAGTCCTCCAGTTCGCATTTGAGGTCTGTATCAAATGCGCGGGCAATGTCCGCGTAGGACGGGGTATGTTCACTTCGCTGAGCTGGGGGCATGCTGGTAGTAGCACTCGGGGATGGCGTTTATACAAGCTTGCTCATGGACCAGTCTCACAGGCGGGGAACGCAGGAAACCATCGGAGCATCGGGGTTTCACAGCTACACATCGTCAGTCGTAGTGACTCGCTGATGTATTTCCGTACCATGTCAGCCTGAGATTGCGACGGAGTTTGAGCCCGATGAAAAGGATGTTGAGGGTACAGCTCTGGCGCCTACTTCTTATAGACGACCCAATCGAACAGCAATGCGACTGCGCCGAAGAGCAGCGAGCGCTCGCTCGGACATCACAGCTGTGGATAGCTGTGATCGCTCGCAGTCACTGTGGCACCCGCCACTGCCTGACTGGCCCGAATCTACAAATCACTTCCGGCGCGGCGTGTTCTCACCGACAGCTGCATGGCCGAGCGGTTGTTAAACGATGGAACAGCCCATGACTGTGCAGCAGACTGCGGACAGGAAACAAGACACATAACGTGCCGTCATCTGACGTGCGGTTCATCGCCCTACTGACAGCTTTGCGCTCTGAAGCCGCCTGAAGTGTGCATCCTTCGTTTGCGATAAGGCCCCCGATGGCGCCGAAACCATTCAACGTCCTACACATCATCGTTCGAAAGTGCGGCAGGTTTCAAGTAGATGAATGTTACAGTCAAAGTACAGTAGTATGCGTGTGATGATGCTATGTCCGTTATATATTGATGCGAAAGGATGTCGTGTGGTCAACGTGTAGCAAGCGATGCCCACGCAGTGAATGGCGGTGGAGGGCAGACGCCATCCCGATCTATCAGATACCGTCCTCGCACTGAGCAGGTGTAATCTGAGATGCATGATGATCTAGCTAGGAGGGCATGATCAGCCCAGGAACAAATGAGTAAGAGCGTCAGAACTTACCGTACCCAGCGCTAGCACGCAATCATCTCAACGACCCCTAGTGAGGCGAGCTCGAGCTGGATGGACCAGCGCGGATGAAACAGGTCGCCCAGACATGGATTGGCGTGGTTTCTGTCGTCGTTCGCGTGCGGACAACTCGGGTTCCGGCTCCCACTTGCGTTTCAAGACATTCGGGCGGCAAGTGTACGGAGGATGGGAGAGATCCTCGTCGATGTCGGGTAAACTTTCGAATTGGAGAAACGTGGGGCTGTGATATGGGAGTGGGACCGGAGCGACGAGCGGAGCATTGCATATGACGTGCGCAGGGCCGCCGGGGGATAGCATGCCTGGCGACGACGCGGACGATGACGCGGACGCGCATGTATCTGTGGGTGACGGCGGCTCTTCGGCGTTATGAGCTACACGGTGCTGCTTTGCAATCATGGGGCGACTCACGGTCAAAGAAGATGAGTGGCCGAGAAGAATCGAAGAGAGCGTCCCAAGACTCTAGAGCTGTCGGTTCCCAGCATCGGAAAGGGTCGCCAGGGGACCGAGAGGCAGACGACCGCAGAGTAAGGTCAAAGTCGGCGGGGAAGTCAAAGGCATCCATGGTGGTGGAAAGGAAGCAAGAGTGGATGGATGTGAGCGGAAAGAATATAGATAGAAGGCTGTGGGTGGGAGCGGCAAGCATGAATGGCACATTGTCAAGTGCGAGTAATCGTTCAAGTTAGCCGGATACCCACAAGAGCGTTTCATGGTGATGGTTCTGAAGCAACCCTAATTAGGTAACGTCTCAGCGCTTTGCCTTTTACCCATGTCCACCGCGCGAGTGATCACCTCCTCGAACCTGCGCTACTTCGTGCCCAGGAATACCAGGAAACACTTGCCAGTGTACACCGACTTCCGCAGCCGTGGAGCTCAGTGCTTCATCATCATAAAAAACATACAGGGACACACGCCGGTGCGTCACAAGCTCTTGTTGATGGATCTTGGCTTATCATCCCACCCTTTTTGTCAGGCCCTCGCCCAGGAACTTACAACCTCCCTGTTTGAGGCCGAGGACCCGTCCGCGGGCTTTATGCGTGTGGAGCAGCACCCCAACCGCGTAGTCATCAAAGGAGCGCGTCCGCATTGGAAGGACCGCGTCGTCGATTTTCTGCGAGAACGCGGGTTCTAGTGACTCGGCGGAAAAGTACATCTAGGGTCCACCTGTCTAATTCCATCTGCGCGTGCTTTCGAGTTCTCATCGCGACACTCTCCCTGGCATCCAACACGGGTGTCGATCGGCCTTCGTTCATACGTCGTCTGCAACCACCATCGTCTGATATCTCATCATCAACAATTCATTCAGTGCAGTCCCGTCCCGTCCAGGTCTTGCCACTTGGCAATGGTCGTTTGCGACGCGAGACAACCGACATGATGATGTCCTCCGGACTTCTGCGCAGCACCTCACTGCTCCACAGCCCAAAAGCGGTATCCAGCGCCGGCCTGCGCTGCTCTCACATGTCAGATGTCAGTCTATATTTTGGTCTCCCTGCACTCGACTGCTTTCAGTGGCCGATCACCGCAAGAACTCAACTGCTTCTGGTCATCAGTCACGCACTGGCGTGCTTGGTGAGAATTGTCGCATCGTTGCAATGCTCACGTTACCGTCGGACGGCGGCAATTGTGGTGCTGGAACTTCGAGGACGTGTAGTACACAAGCCCCCGATCTTGAGTTTCTGACCGATCAAGACCGGCACTAAGGGAGGATTGCGCTGTGTCATGCACATTTTTCCAACGTCTTACAGCAAGCGCGCATGCTCTCCTGCGATATGTATAGTAGTACAGAATGCGACAAGACAAGTGGTGATGCATAGGTCGATGTTTGGGCATGCATAATAGAAGCACATATAGTGAGTAGGCAAAGCAAGATAAAGAAAGAGCCCAAGCACAACAGCCATCCCTTCCACATCTGTTCTCGTGCTGAGCTACATGCACCTCGGAGACGACAATCGGTCCTACCGACCTCGGGAGGGGTAAAGCGTTTACTTCTCCGGGTTGGGGTTCCTGAAAAGCACAGGTCAGCATCACATGCGATGCGTGTATGACGGGAGAAGAGAGAAGAGTCAGATAGGAGCGAAAGACATTAGATGCATTTTTATCAACACGATCGTTTCAGTGTGAACTATGCTTGGATTTGTATCATCATTGGCAGAAGGCACCCATGCATGGCAGCAAGGAGAGGCGCAAAGCAGAAGTAGCATCGAGGAGAGCAGCAACCCGGGGTGCGGGGCGGAGCCGAAGAGAAGATGATGACTTGGAAAGACATTACTCACATTCTGCGCTTGCCGCCAGGGAGAGTGGTGACGTTAACGAAGCTGGACGAGGATGAAGACACTGAGGTTGCACGGATCGCTTCAGAGGACGCACCGGCGGTTATACAGGATCCGCTTCTTCGCACGGCCCTTGGGCGTCTTTTTCTTCTCCTGCTTCTCGACCTTTGGTGTTTGCTGCTTGACCTTTCCGGCACGGGCGAGGGATCCGTGGACTGGCGAAGAGTACGAGCATGAGCAGGTGGGACGATGCGAGGCAGGCGGCTATGTACCTTTTCCCATGTTGCTTGAAGAGAGAGAGTTACAAATCGTCACCGTCACAGCGATAAAACTGTCCAGTCGTCAGGTGACCCAATCATGATGCTGATGACATCAGTAATCGGTCCCAGTAGGTGTCGACTCGCTCTGCCACTTGCATCTCGGCACGAGATTTTCAGAGCTCTCATGACCAAGTTGGAATCTGCGACGCACGCACTGAAGTCTTCTTCCCACCCAACGGAAAACTTTCAGGATCTGTTCTCGTGCATAGTATCGTGACCATTCGGAAGTATTATGGGGCTCTTTTCTTGCGTGAGCCGGCCCGCCTTCGTAGGTCGTGACGGGTCAAGTGCGCTGGATATAAATTCCGCCCGGACTATGGACAGTGGATAATGTATCTCCGTCTTCCTCTCGTCGCTCTTCTCCTGGCACCAGTTGCTCGCGCGCTGACCTATCACGGTGCTGACATCTCGTCACTCATCAATCTTGAGAAGAGCGGGACGACTTACCACGACTCTGCTACATCTTCGACCAAGCTAGAGACCATCCTCGCTGCTCATGGCGCCAATCTTGCGCGTATACGCATCTGGACGAGCACCAACGACGCGGACTACAGTCTCAACTACGGTTTGGCGTTGGCGAAGAGAGCGGTCGCAGCTAAGATGACGCTGCTGATTGATCTGCACTACAGTGATACATGTGAGTGTTGCTTTCTACATCCAAGTTCAGATCTGATAGTTCCAAGGGGCCGACGAGGGACATCAAGCGATCCCTTCTAGCTGGTGGGTGATCTACAGTGCATTCAACGACGGCCGAATAACACTATAATCTAGGCCGACCACGCTTTCTGGACTGAACACCCAGATATACACCTACACGAAGAGCGTTGTAGCCGCCTTCTCCGCCCAGGGGACCCCTATCCAATACCTGCAGATAGGAAACGAGATCAACGATGGCCTGCTCTGGCCTGTCGGACGGATCTCGGTGAATGGATATTCTCCGGCATCTCAGCTGCTACATTCGGCTGCTAACGGGGCCCATGACGCCCTTTCGTCCGTCAAGGCCGTCGTCCACATTGCCAACGGGTGGGATGCCTCTGGCGTCAGCTCCTTCTTCAACAACATCTTCATCGCAGGCCAGCTCTCGCTCAGCGATGTCAACGCCTTTGGATTCTCTTTCTACCCGTTCTATGGTACTGGTGCCACGCTTGCTCATCTCCAGTCTTCGCTATCGGCAGTAGTCTCAAAGTTCGGCAAAGTGAGCGGTATCTTGATCACGCGGACAGAGAACTGATTGAACGCTTCCAGGATGTGATGGTTGTTGAGACGAACTGGCCCGTGACGTGCTCTGGTGTCTCGCTCAGCGAGCCGTCGGTCGCGATCTCCACCTCTGGTCAAGAAACATGGGTAAAGGATATCCGCAACGTCTTGTCTGGTCTCTCCGGCGGTCACGGCATCGGCATCGTCTACTGGGAGCCTGGCTGGGTTCGTCGCTTTGCTTGCCGCTCGCCTCGCTTTCGTGCTCACCGTCTCTCTCATAGATTGGCAACGCTGGTAAGCGATTCATCCGCAGAACATCGGAACCCTTCTCATCCCTCGTGTCTAAGCTCTTGGGTCCTCTTGTGCGGTACGTGTGGCCTGTGCTTGGCTAGAGTTCTTCCGTGTCTCACCCGAAATCACAGGACAATCTACTGGTCGACGGATCCGGCAACACGCGAACGTCCATCGCCATGTTCTCTGCCGATATGTAGTAGAGTCCAAGCACACATATACCCACCCAAAAATGAAAACATGTATTGTAATCACAACCGACGGGCAATGTTAACCAGGGCTCGTTTGAGAAGCCTCGAATGCCGATGAATGCCGATGCGCAGTTGATTGTTGCTCGTCCGATTCTGTCGCTTGTTCGCTTGAGCCATGCGCCCCATTAAGGATTGCAAGCAGTCCTGGGCACTGGGCAGTCAAGCACAGATGTCTTGGGACCGGTCATCCGAATCCGACGGGGTTCGCAGAGAAGTCATGGAATTGATGCGAGGATATGAATTAGCCTAGCAATTACGTTCTTTCTGTTATAATGGATCCCCATTTCGTTCGGATTGAAGCATGTTACATTCCGGTGCATTCTTGTCGGCGAACAGGCATACATATGTGTCAAAGGATGTGTGTCACCCGTGGCTGTGTGATAAGATCATCAGGCTCCCAATGCCGATGCCAGGAAGCTCGCGCGTTTCAGCCCTGTGAGTCAAGTGTTCGACAATTTTGGCTCTTGGGTAAATGAAAACGCGTTTATCCTATAATTCGGACCCGGAAATATCAACCACGAATAATAACCGTGACTGTCCAGAGTATCACACGTGACCGCGTGCACGATCGTTCACTCTTGGCCTCCATCAACCACCACATCCCTACCTCATCCTACCATCCATGCCCATGCCTATCACACGCTCCCCGAACTCGTCGTCCTCGTCTGCCGATATCATTTTTGTTGACAGTGGCAGGAAGCGCTCTCCCAAAAAGAAATCTCCGCCATCCAAGGACACGCCAGGGCCGCATCACGACATCATCGAAATCTCGTCGGATGAAGACGAAGAACCTGTTGCACCGCGATCCCGGAAGGCGGCAGCCACATCAGAGAGCGCAAGGTTGCGGAAAAGAGTGCACGAGCTTGAACGGGTGCGTCTGGAACTCAGTTGTACATACACACTATCTGACAATTCACTCATGAACCATCCACAGGAGAACGCTCGAATCAGAAGAGAGAATGAGCAAGTTAAGAAAGACCAAGAGACAGCCCTCAAGAAGGCCAATGTGTGCTCGTCCGACTCGTCTCGCACCGCGTTGAGTCTGAATGACATCACAGCTGCAAACTACCGCAGAGCTGGAAGAGCAAGTGACATGCGAAGTCTGCGCCTCGAAAATGTGGTCGCCGTTCATGTATGTTGCTACTTCTGTCAGGCAGGTATCCTACTGACGCATGCATATCTGCAAGCCTCCCCGATTGCGGCCACACTTTCTGTCAGCGGGATCTGGAGGCCTGGTTTGCCACCGCCCTGAATCATCACCTACAAAAGTACCCGCACTACCAGATGCAGATGGGCTACCCGTATGGGATGCGCGGTGGTGCATACCAACAACCGTCTCCGCAGGTTAGTTTCACTCTCTCCTTTCTACGTCGGCGCTTTCTCACTCAGGAACACCAAGTACGTGTGCCCCAAATGCCGCACAGCAGTGCGATCGCGCCCCATCCAGAACTTTGCAATGAAGAACATTGTTCGCACCGTTGCGAGTCAAATCGGCGAGAGCAGTCCAAAGCGCCCGACGGGCAGCGCTACCGACCATGTTTGGGATAGATTTTTCCCACCACGAGCATGAGAACGAGCACACAGTGCGCAGGTCACAGTGCAGTACATAGTTTAATACGGCTTGAACCTCCTCGATGCTTTGAGTTTCTCGACCTTCGCCTTGTCCGCCTCCCAGTTCTTTTTCAGTTCCAGCAGTTCTACGGCGAAGATGAGTGTGAAAGCAACAGCAAGGAGGATCGCGCGCACCATTACGCTGTTTTTCCGCCTTCTGGAAAGCATAGAAGTTGACCTTCTCCTTTTTCTCCTTCTTCTTCCTATTCGTTGTTGTCTCGCCCGTCTCCTGGAACTTTTTGCTCGCGACAGCGACCCCACCGCCGAGAGTTTGGCCGTAAGCACCCCCGCGCGTCACAAGGGTGAATCCGTCCTCATCCACGATCGCCTCGCCCTTGTGGTACTTGCTCTGTCGCTGCGCCTGGCGCTGCTCGAACTCGAACAGCGCCATGTAGCTGTCCGCGTGCGCGCGCACGGCGTCGAGCGGCGGGCGACGGGAGTCGTACAGCGCAGTGTAATGCGCCAGCCCGGAGGGCTCGGCATCTGCATCTGCGCCGCCTCCCGCCGTAGGCCATGTCCAGGTGCGGGAGGATTTCCCTTTTGGGGCGGCCGGATCCAGCGCGCGCGCGAGCGACGACGCGTCGAGAAACACTAGGTGCGCGGAGCGCCCGGTAGGCCGCAGCTGCCGGAGGGGGCGGGTCGGCAGCGGGGTGACTCGAGGCGGGCGTTCGGGTTTAGAGAGCTTTCGTCGTTTCCGTGGGGCGGAGGTGTCTTCGTTTTCATCGGCTTGCGGTGCCTCCGTATCCCCAGCATCTGCGTCCTCCCCCTCAGAGTCGGTATCGGGATCGAGAATCTCGGCCGTTGCCGATGCATCATCCAGGTCGAATACGACTTTTTCGACGGTTCCGCTGGAGGAGAAGAGCTTGACTAGGTCGCGCTGTGTTGCATCCGGCGGAACGTTGACCAGGAAGAGTGTGCGTCCTTCGGGAAGCACTGGTTTTGATGTGGACGCATGTTTCTTGGATCCGACGTGGGCTCGAGCGTAGATGTAGTGCTTTGTGTCGCTTGAGTACGATATCGGGAGGACAGTGAATCCCGAGATGGTGGTGGGGAGCGACATTTTTTCGGCGTGATCGGCGATCATTTGCTATGATCCATTTCTGAACACATTTCAACCCGATGCTAGTGACACCTCGTTGAGGATGATGAAGAGTGCAGGTATAACTGAAAAAAAAAATCTACTGCATGCTCAAGTTTTCTTCTCTGGAGGAAGGTGCTTGCGTGCTGGGGATGACCGAAGAACGATAATATTTCTCAACGTCCGGTTGGAAGGAGACATCTTCTACTTCTCACCATACACGCGGTGAACTATCACATAAGTCGGGGGTTTAATAATCGAGATCGCCTGCAGCAGAAAAGGTATAGCTGGCTACTTGAGGCCATCGGCGCAAACGTGAAGCAAGCCAGCAGCTGGTCATAGCGAATATCATGGTGACAAGCCATGTGAGTGAGTTGACTGGGTGGAGCGATAACTCGATCCTGCCATAACGTACATATAAACACACACTACGGCCTAGAGTGTAACATAGCTCTGGGCAACGATCACTAAAAAGCACGACACACTCAATGTGAATGTGGGATGGAAAGGCTCCCAACAGTTGCGGCTGACATCCAGAAGGATACCGTTTAAAGTGGAGCCAAGGCATTTTATCAGTTGGCTTTTCGATGGAATGTGAAGTGGAAGTTATTCATTAGAGTAAACCGAAGTTTGATCCCGTGACGTCCATGTTCACGAATCCGTCGGATGTGATACGCGAGTAAAAGTCTCTGAGAACGTCCTCGTATGAGAATTGACAAAGATAAGTCCGTTGGGCCTGTTGAACCCTAGCTCAGCGAACGTCCATTGCGCGTGCCTTGCGATTTTCTCCCGAATTTATCAACGAGCGGAGCAATACAGAGCATCAGTCGACTGCGGAGCGAATGATCAATGGAGATCTTTGCCACTGTCCATAAGCCACCCCTGAAAGCGCTGTGCCGCTGAATGCAATGGAGCAGACAAGCAAAGCTATAGCTCATCAGACTACTGAGAGAGACGAATGTCGGTGCGGGTAGTAAAATTCGCAAGTGCCATGTAGTGCAGGCGAGAGGCAGACTTTTCTTGCTTTTGTTTGGCGCAAGGTCGGGGGTGCTCTATCCGTGATAAGTCTGCCGTTCAGGCATCTTGGAACTGAAATCTCAACCCATGACGCTTACATAAAACCGTTGACTTCCAAGGGCGTAATCCGCGGAAACCATCTCCGTCTCTCCGGACCTGACGGGGACAAGTCCGTTGGGCCAAGTCCAAGGAACGTTCCAGCGTTCATTGCCTCTGCCCGTGCCAGCCTGTGCCTTGCGATTATCTCCCGACTTGAATTTATGGACTAGCGGAAGAATATATCAGCAAAGCAGATCAATGAATGTGCCTAAGCCATCGGGTGCGCCGGGCCAGGAGATGCCGCCTCACCTCGGTATCGATTCAGATTAAATATGAGGACAAGGGCAAGAACAACGGGAAGGGGGGACAAATTCGAATTCCGGCGATGTGTTTGGCAACAGACCCTCGGGAGCTTGTAGCCTGGAGCAATTCATGCAGTGTTCACCGTGCATGAGGTCGAGCTGCCGGCATCGATTATATCAACTGCCGCGAGGCAGCGCGAGTTTTGAGAGCAGATTGTTGAGGATCTCAAAATTATCTCAAAACCGCCGAATTCAGGGCGCATCAGTCATCGAAGTGAGCGGTCGGAGTCAATTGTGGGCCAAAATTCAGGAGCTTGCGGGCAGAGGAAGGAGGCAAAGCAACCGTTGCTCCAATCAGTCATCACACTCGTTATCAACGAGGCAGGGACTTGGAGCAACAACTCGGTTCAGAATTGTTCCCGGGACGATTGAGAACAGCGGTCGAGAATACTGGTGAGGTCGAAATAATACTTTTCCCCCGAACTAGATGGCGTGTAAAATCTCCAGTCTTCCCTCTCGAAAGTGTGGAGATAAGTCGGATCAGCGGACAGGCCCAAGCAGGCCTAAACATTCCTCGTCTCGGCACCTACCGGCCTCGCGTATCCACCTACAGGCTACATATATGCCGCCACCAAGCACCATGCTTATCAAGTGGAGGTAGTCGCAAACCCTCGATGGGGAAATCGAACGCCGAGTTTGCCTTCGGGCCAGCGACCACCATTCGGACGATGCGCCCACGGAGCACGGTGCCTGGCGATCGGGCACCCTATTTCCGTTCTGATGTGGTCTCCAGCCAATCGTCGCGCGCTTCGTTGTGTGCGCGGTTGACATGATCTATTTCGAACACGGGCGAAGCGGTCCTGCTTCAAAAGGCGCCGTACGCGACGAGATCTTCCACGCTCTTGTCCCCTCCCTGAGCACAGTCCCATGGCCCCCCAATCGGCACTCCACCTCGCGGCGGCAGCAGCGGTGTTGCTCTCGTCGGCCCTTGTGCAGGCACAGACTGCTGCTGCTCCTGCTGCGGCCAGCGTCAGGTCGCTGTCCTCGCCCTTGGGCCCTGTCGTCGACCTGGGGTGAGTCCTCGATCCGCGGGCGGCCCGGACGGACGGCTACTGAGCGCAGTCCCAGCTATGCCGCTTACGCCGGCAACACGTCGCTCCCTGGCCTGACATTCTTTGGTGGAATCCCATACATCCAGCCCCCCGTCGGCAACCTTCGTTTCGCACCGCCGCACAATCTCGACGAGAGCTACAATCGACACCTCTCGAACGCGGACGTCGTGGACGCCCGCAACTGGGGTCCCATCTGCATCCAACAGCCGGCTGTTGTTGGCATCGGCAGTGAAGGTCAGCAGGACCTTTTTTTCTTCCCCGGCATGGCATGGGAGGACGTTCTCATCCCCCGTTAGATTGCGTCACTCTCAACGTCTGGACGCCCTCCGGCACCAACCCGAACAGCAAGCTACCTGTTTATGTCTACATCGTGCGTCCCCCTGCTGTAGATCCAGCACGACTCACCGACTCCTCGCCAGCACGGTGGAGGCTACTATTACAACTCGTGCGTGCTGCCCGTCATCTTCTCGCTTCCTGATCCAACAGTGATTCCAGCGCCCAAGGTCAGCAGCGACGAAGAATCTCGCTGCCGCTGATCCGTGCTCACATTCCTGACAGGTTTCCCCGGGAATGATTGGGTCGCGCGGTCTAATGGCGGTCTGATCGCGGTGGCGATCCAGTATCGGGTAGATCCGAGTCTCTCTGGGTGCACTGGCGGTCCATCTGACGAGACGTAGCTTGGAATGCTCGGGTTCTTGAACGGAGCCGCGATCCGTGCGGACTACTCGGCCAGTGCCAACAACGGCCTCTTCGATCAACGCGCTGCCCTCGAATGGATCCAGCGTCACATTGGAGCTTTCGGTGGGGATCCCAGCAAGGTTACCATCGGAGGTGAGTCTTGTTTGGGCGCAGACACTGCCGGATGCTGACAGTTCTTCTCAGGCCAGAGTGCAGTGCGGCGTTTGTTATTCTTCGTGCGTTTCTCGGACTGAGCGACTTTCCAGGGCGGCGGATCGGTTGCCTTGCACATGGCTGCTTACGGAGGGGAGGCTCACCCCGTATGTGATAGCCTCACTCGGGCTATAAGATGGTCAGCTGAACTTTCATCTAGCCGTTCCGCGCGGCGGTTCTCGAGAGTCCCGGAAACGATCCCTTTGCGACGGACGACCACAGCGAGCAATGCTTCGCCGATGCGGTCTCGCACATCGGCTGCCCTAGCAGCGGCTCCGGTGTCGTTTCCTGCCTGCGCAAAGCTTCGGGTGAGCTCTATCTGTCTGTCTTCCGTGGCCAACGCCGACCTCGCTTTAGTTGGAGCCATCGTTGGCGCAGTGAACAACAAGCTGTCCACTTGCAAGTACGAGCCCGTGATCGATGGCAACTACATCCCCGGCATCACCTCCCAGCTGTTCACCGCAGGCCGGTTCAGCAAAGTGCCCATTCTCGGTGGCCACACTGCCCAGGATGGATCGATCTTCGTTGGTAAGCCGGCCCAGATCAACACCGACGCCGACATTGTTGCCGCCATCGTCAAGCGTTACCCGTTGCTTTCATCCCAGACCACTAACTCGATGCTCGTGACATATCCGCCTGCGTCGAGCACCACGCCGTGGACCACCCAATGGGAGCGGGCGATGTGGGCCTACATGGAGAGCGAGGTGTGTCCCTGTCCTGCTGCTTGCCTGAGCGATCTCGTGTTCATTCGCCGCAGCTTTCGTGCTACCCGTGGTACATCGGCAACATCTCCGGCAAGCCTGCATTCAACTACCGCTGGGACGCCCCGGACCCGAATCTGATCGCTGCCCGGGGAGCCTACGTCGGCGCCGCGCACACGGCGGAGCTCTTCTACCTCTACGACGGCACTAACTCGGGCCCCAGCGCGTCCGTCGCCCAGCCCGTCTTCACCGCCTTCAGCGCCGCGCAGTCGTCCCTTGCCCAGCAGGCGGTGGCCTGGTGGTCGAGCTTCGCGATGACCCTCGACCCGAACTCGCACGCCGCGGCGGGCGCGCCGACCTGGGAGCCGGCGTCGCTGAACGGTGGATTTATGGTCCCCAATGCGAGCGCCAGCTCAGCCTCCAGTGCCATGCAGTACGTCGACGCGAACTACCCCGTCCGCTGCGCTTGGTGGCGCAGCATCGCCAATGAACTCAGGCTCTAGGCTTGCGCCTCCTTGAGTGATATATATGTAAAAACTGTTATTTATCTCTATACATAATGAACAGAGAGCATCTCGGGGACCATCATCATTGTTTGACTGGTAATCAACCTGCGGGTACAGTCCGTGTCTTGGTATTGATTATGATGGTCATCCGACGATGATTCTTTTGGGTCTGGTCTTCCTCGTTGCTAACCGCTCGGAGTTGTATTATCTGTAGAAGCGGATTGCAGAGGCATCAAGACAATCTCTCAATGCACAAAAGTCTAGGGCTGAATGGCGTGTCCAAATCCAAATTTCGCGAACTTTCAAAGGCAACAACCAGTGGATGCATTCCTCAGTTTTGAATAGAGATGAATCAACCTGTGACTCTGGGCATCGTCGCCGGACATTCTTCCGACTATAGACGCCCAGGTGATGATCCCAGGCACCGTTGATGCTGTCACTTTATCACGGGACCGCGTTTCATGACTAATCCTCATCCCATCCCTTCACCTTCAGACTTTGATGATCTTATATGGCTTTCACTTCTCCCGATGACCCATTTTACGAACTCATGCGTCCGCCTCCCGACGAGACCCCAGCCCAGATGACAGCACGAATAAAACGGGAGGCGGACGCACAACGAATCAGCGACAATATCGACGAGGACATCAAACGCGATAGGAACGCACAGCGCAAGGCGCGCAAGGAGCTGAGGATCCTCCTACTGGGCCAAGGCGAGAGTGGTGCGTCGCTGGTATTTCCCGGGTATCCTTGCTCACTGCTCGCATCGCAGGCAAGTCCACGACGCTCAAGAGTGTGTCCTCTCCTCCCTTGCACATGACTTTTGGAACTCACGCTGCGCAGACTTTCGCATGCAGTACGCTAGGGAAGACTGGGAGAGCGAGCGGGCAGGCTGGCGGGCCGTCGTCCAGCTGAACATCATCCGGTCCATCGTGCACATTCTCGACCTCATAGAATCAGAAACGAGCGGCGGTGCCGCCTCCGGGGCCCAGGCCGTGGACGACGACGACGACAGCGAGTCGCGCCGGTCCTCGTACTCCGTGGCAGAGTCCTTCACAGACAAGCACCGGCTGCTGATGATCCGGCTCGCACCCCTCCGCGGGGTCGAAGCCGACCTCAAGCGCCGGCTGGGTGCCGGGGCAGACCTTGCGCCGTCCATGTCGCCGATGTACGCCACGCCCTTCGACGAGCCGGGCCCGCTGCCGTCGCCCAAGCGGCGCTTCGAGTTCTCCGTGCGCAGCTGGACGGACGCTATCCAGGACGGCACGGCGGACGTCGAGTCGTGCACGATTGCGATGATGTCGTGTAACGAGGATATGCAGACGCTGTGGGGCGACTCGGCGGTTCAGGCACTGCTGGAGCGGCGCAAGGTCCGGCTGGCGGACGGTGCCGGGTTCTTCTTGAATGATCTCGAGAGGATTGTGACGAGGTCGTATATGGCTACTGATGATGATATCGTGCGCGCACGGCTTAGGACAGTTGGCATACAGGAGTATCTGCTCAGAATTGGAGATGGGTTCTCGCTCCGTGAGTGCCCAGTTTTTACTTTCTTGCCGCGCGGGGCCGTGCTCATCATCCCTCTAGGCGGCGATAACGCATGGACATGGAAACTGTATGACGTCGGGGGATGCCGGACCATGGTACGTGTGATTTCTACCCATCTCTGGCTGGACCGCGTCGAGCCCCCGTAGCGTGCAGCCTGGCTGCCATTCTTCGAGAACACGGATGTGATCATCTTCCTTTGTCCCGGTGTGTCATCCGAGTGTTGCCCCGGGACTCATTCTCATCGGATCAGTGTCCTGTTTCGACGAACGACTCGACGAGGATTCACGTGTGAATCGCCTCGAGGACTCGACGCTGCTGTGGCGCGCCATCTGCACATCGAAGCTGCTCGGGAAGACGCAGCTGATTCTGTTTCTGGTCAGCCTGTGCTGTTATGTGCGGCCCGCAGATGTGCTTATCGGCCCGCAGAACAAATGCGATCTGCTGAAACGCAAGCTGAAACGCGGGATCAAAGTCAAGACATATTTACCGAGCTACGGAGATCGCCCAAATGAGGTCATGCCCGTGGTGAAATGTGGGCCGGACCACTGTCAGGACTTATCGATCGCTGATACCTATCGTGCGTCCCAGACCTGCGCGAGAAGTACAAGGAGATCCAGAAGCAGCATTCTCCGGAACCACGGGTATCCTACATCTACACCACGACCGTCACTGTATGTTGCCGACATCGCCGAGCCCTGCTTTTTTTCATGACTCACACGACACACAGGACACGACCGCCACGGCCAAGACGCTTCACTCGAGTACGTACAATACGCTTCCCGTCATGCCTGCGGGCGGCCCCATGGGTGACTCATCCGCTCCTCCAGTCCGAGACCGGGTCTTACGTGAAAATCTGGTGACGTCTAATCTTGTATAGGCTCCTGGTATGTAGTACATCCTATCTAGTACTTATCTATTATCTTTATTGCACTTGTATGTACTCATTGTGTATTGCACCCAGTATTACAGCGGGGGGAGCATTGGCTCGTAGATTACCGCTCTGCAGCGCAAAGCTATTACTTATCGAAGGTCAGGCGGCACGTAAGGAACATTGTGGCTGTTTGCATTATACTGTACTTACATATCTAGGGCCGGGCAACGTCTGGATTCTTGAACTGCGATCACGAGACTCGAGTAACAGGCGTAGTATGACTAAGCGAGAATCAGGACCAACACCGCGCTTGGGAAAGTTCTAGTGTTGGAAGCTGCACAAAAACATGCCGTGTTCGAATTCACGTTATGACATACTACTCGAGTGAAGAACTGCGCCACGCAATCGCCGCGTGATCGGGACCAACAGAGTCGGCGGCCAGAAAAGTTCTTTTTTTCCGGGGCATTCTCACAAACGGCTCAAGATTCACTTCCAATCACAGGCTTCGAGGACTTGGTTTCGAACAGGCAGACGAGATTCACGTGATGCCATTCGAAATCTGATCCACATCACTCACTGACCACTGATCAGTGATTGCGAATCGGACGACGCATGCTTGCCACACACAGGTGACCCTTGTGGACATTGAGCAAGGATCTCGAGGACTGCAGACGGTGCTTCTATTCCGATGCGCGCTATGACGTGCGCGCGCGACGGGTCGTGTGACGCTGAGAGCAGCGCCTGCTGTAGCTTCAATGCGGCTTCATCTCTCTGACTTTGAAGCAGCGCGCGCGCTGACAAGAGCAGACGACAGGAATATCAAACGAGATGAAATCTGCTAATTGGGCCGACGTTTTATTCATTCTACCCTACCCGGGGTATACAACAAGAAACCCTTCAAGACAGGACACAATGGATGAGGATCCCGTTGTAGGGGCCTATACAAATGTGAATCTGGTGCTCCAGAGATGAGCAAGGAGGGAGTGAATCACCTGTATGATCAGAGGTATTTCCCTGGAGAAGAGTGGGGACATCTCCTGTCGTGCACAAGGTGCTGTTGTTGTCCATCCCCGGGCAGGCGAGCCAGGCCCCCGAGTCCTGAGATGGGTTAATCAAAGGGTTTCTCCGACAGACAAGAAAGAAGCTTACCTGGATGTGGATCTCACCGGTGGGATGCCGGTATCCAAGGAACCTTCCTGCAAGAACCAAGGTGTCAGTGCATGTACTCGCGAAAAGATGGCCCATCGCGGAAAAACAGTACCGGGTAGAATGGGGACCAGGTCCTCCCGGTTGTTCACATGTGTTATCGTGTTGCCTACGCTGACAAACTCCGCAAACGCCTGATTTCCGACCTGCATAAGCAGCTGTTAATATCGGGGGAGGCTGATTCGCGATCGATGTTATCTACCCGTGGCATCCCATAGAGAATCGATTGGAATTTGACCCCGGTCAGGTGCAGCGGCAGGTAGGCAGCATCAAGAAGACTGATGGCAGCACCTGGGCCCAGCATCAGCGCGTGACCGATGTACGAATGGAGGACCCTACCCAAGCTGTGGCCGACCATAGTCACCTTGTTAAATCCAGTGATCGACAGCGCTCGCTTCACGTTGGCCAAGACCGTCTCGGCTGTCCTGCAGCCAATGAGAACCGCGTCTACCCCGCACGCGACCCCACGGCGCTGAGATGTATACGCACTTTGCATGCTCATTGGCGAAGCCCGAGTGCGCTTGGATCCCGGCTGGGATGCCCGGGAAGAGCGTCGCGTTGAGCGACTCCATGAAGAAGCTCGCGTCGGTCAGGATCGCGAGACTGGTCCGGCGGTCAGTGGAGTGCACGGTGCGCGACACGAGGGTTTGCTTGCATGTCAGGTCCCGTCCCTTGATGCCCCACGATCACGGTCTTGAGCGCCGGATCGTATCCGACGTACCAGTACTGGACGCCGTTCCCGTCCCCGCCAGACGCGAGCGGCTTGAAGCCGGGGTTTGCCAGGCAGTCGACTGCGGCGGTGAGCGGGGCAGTCGGGAGCGGCAAGGCCGACAGACGGACCTGTGCAGTTCCACGCGAGCGTGTCCTGGGGCGGGCAGTATGCGGCGGCGGCGTAGTACGAGTACGGCGTGAAGAAGTCGATCTGGGCCTGGCTCAGTGCTGTGATGCTCGTCGCCTGCCGCTCCGCCAAGGGGGTGGCGGCCGCGGACAGCGAGAGACCGAGGACAGCGAGGGCGGCGAGACGGTGAGCCATGCAGCAGACAGAGAGAACTGGCACTCCAGGACTCAGACCAGGGATGTCGTTTTCCGTGGTTCTTATACGACATACGACGGCAGATCACAACCCCCATGTGGAACGGCATCTGAGCCCTTCCCGAGCCACATGACCGCGACTGGGCAAGCGCCGCAGGGAGATACACAACGCTTGCATGTTTCCGATAGATTTCGGCGCCAATGGCTGGCCCGTGGTCAAGGTCCAATAGGGAGCCCATCACGTGCTGCTACGTCCACCACTGGCCACTGACCCCGTGTCCTGAATCCTGAATCACAAGCGACGGTCGCGACGCTGTGGAGCGCGGCTGTTTCTCCTTCGTCAGCCACATCACGCAGTTTCAACCTTCTTGTGCGAAGCTGGGTTGTGAAAATATCCGGTACGACTCTCGGGCAAACGACAATACTCATATGTAGGTATGTCATCCGGTCAAATCGCCCTCCGATCCGCGGAAAGAGCAGGCCTGAGCGAGTTACAGCGTGGAATGGGAACAGCGACTGGTTCGAGTCTACCATTGGCACAGCTGCTGCGGTTCATCAATCTATGCAGTGATGGATTGATAGAATCGAGCGCCTTCCCCAGCCTCGATAATTGCCTTCCCGCTCTCAACAACCCTTCCATGAAACTTCTCTGACTCCCTCGGTACAAAGCTGGGCGCGATTTGGTCTGCAAATCAGACCAGTTCTCGCCAACCACCCTTACTCTACAGTGAGGCGGTGGGATGACAGCAGCTGGGTATCAAGAGCAGCAGGCCAGTGATGAGGGAACAAGGCAGCATTTGTTTCCATCTGATGCTGCCAGTCAATGAGATTATTTGACTCGCTACAACCATTTGTCCAAGCAAAGCCAATACCTGAGGCCTGAGAACTGCTGAACAAAATCAATGGTGATTTTTTCTTCATTTTTGGGTTTTGGAGCAAAAGAAATCGTGAAACTCAGCAAAAATACAAGAATTGATAGAGGGTGCTAGCGCAATGCCGGACAAATTTGATCCTATTGAGACAAAATTGTGACGGACAAAACTTGTCGATTTCCAATTTTTGGTCCTAGCCTCACCAGGGATTCCTGTCGTGTGCCACTGCGAGCAGTCGTCTCCTGTCACCCTATCTCTCTGCAATAGCGCTCTCTTTGACAAGAGCTGAGTCGGCCGCAGTCCGGACATGCCAATAAATATTTATAACAATTGAGACAGAATTCCAGCTATCTGGGCAGATATTTCATCTCTTCTATCCTACCCCAAGTATATAACAACGTTCAAGGGATGACACATTGGATCTCGATGCCGTTGTACGGACCTACACCATGGTGAATCTGATATGCTAGGGTCGAGCAAGGAGGGAGTGGAGTCACCTTTATGGTTAAAAGCATTTCCCTGGAGAAGGGTGGGAACATCTCCGGTTGTGCACAGGGTGCTGTTGTTGTCCATCCCCGGGCACGCGAGCCAAGCCCCCGAGTCCTTGGATGTGTCCAGCGAAGAGTTTGACCGATAGACGAGAAGCTTACCTGGATGTGGATCTCACCGGTGGGATGCCGGTATCCAAGCCACATTCCTGCGAGAACGAAGGTATCAGTGGTGGGTTCGAAAAACGATTACCGGTCGGAAATAGCACCTGGCAGGATGGGAACCACGTCCTCCTGGTTGTTCACATGTGTTATCGTGTTGCCTACGCTGACATACTCCGCGAACGCCTGATTTCCGACCTGGCAGAGCTATTAATATCGGGTAGGCTGATTCCAGATCGATGTTATCTACCCGTGGCATCCCATATAGGATCGATTGGAATTTGACCCCGGTCAAGTGCAGGGGTAGATATGCGGCATCAAGCAGACTGATTGCAGCACCTAAGACCAACATCAGCGCGTAACCGATGTATTGATAGAGGGGACCCTACCCAGACTGTGCCCGACCATAGTCACCTTGTTGAATCCAGTGATCGACAGCGCTTGTTTCACGTTAGCCAAGACCGTCTCGGCTGTTCTGCAGCCAGTCAGTACCCAATATACCCCGCACACGACCCATTCGCACGTACTTTGCATGCTCATTCGCGAATCCGGAGTGAGCCTCGATGCCAGCGGGAATGCCCGGAAAGAGTGTCGCATTGAGAGACTCCATGAGGAATGTCGCGTCGGTCAGAATCGCGAGACTAGCTCGGTGGTCAGGTCAACATGCACTGCGCGACGCGAGGGCTCCCTTGCATGTTCGTCTCCGTCCCCTGATGTCCCACAATGACCGTCTTGAGCGCCGGGTCGTATCCGACATACCAATACTGAACCGCGCTTCCGTCGCCGCCAGATGCAATCGGCTTGAATCCCGGGTTCGCCGCGCAGTCGACTTGAACGGTAAAATGAGCGATCGCAGGCGGAAGCCGGATGAAATGGCGCACCTGTGCAGTTCCAGGCGAGTGTGTCCTGGGGCGGGCAGTACGCGGCTGCGGCATAGTACGAGTACGGCGTGAAGAAATCGATCTGGGCCTGGGTCAATGCTGTGATGCCTGCAGTCGCCTGCCGCTCCGTCACTGGAGTGGCGATCCCGGAAAGTGAGAGTCCAAGAACGACGAGAGCAGCGATATGGTGAGCCATGCAGCAAAGAGAGAACTGATATCCCAAGACTCAGATCCAGGATGTCGTTTTTTGAAGTTCTTATACGACGACATACGGTGGATCACGACCCCATGTGGAATGGCATCTGAGCCCTTCCCGAGCCACATGACCGCGACTGGACAGGTGCCCCAGCGCGATACACAACGCTTGCGTGGTTCCGATAGATTTCGGCGCCGATGGCAGGCCCGTGGTTCAGGTCCAATAGGGAGCCCATCACATCCTGCTACGTCCACCATGACTGGCCAGTGACCGCGTGTCCTGCAAGTCAATCACAGGCGACGGTCGCGACGTTGTGGAGCGCAGCTGTCCCTTCTTCGCAAGACACGTCACGCAACTTCACCCTTCTTGTGCGAAGCTGGGTTGTGAAAATATCCGGCGCCGCGAACGTTTTGATGACTCTCTGGACAATCATAATACTCATATGTGTGCATGTCATCCGGCCAAATCGTCTCCGATCTGCGGGGAGAGTAAGCCTGAGCGAGTTACAGCATGGGATAGGAATAGCCACTGGTCAGTAGTTAGAGTCTACCTTGGGCACAGTCTCATCAATCTACTTAGTAATAAATTGATCGGATCGGAACGCCTTCTCCAGTTAGCGCCGTACCCGCGATAATCGCCGCCCGCCTGCTCTTAGTACGATCACTTTTGTGGAACTTCCCTGCCTCTCTCGGAACAGAAGCTGGGCGCGATTCACTGTGCAAAGCACACCATCCTTCGCCGAACGCTTGTGTCCTACGGTGCAACCGGCGCACCCTGGGCCAGTGAATCGCTGACAAACCCCACACCCCGTCGGCGCCCGCGATCCTCCTCTCAGACGACACGACTCCACAGGATCTCCATGACGCGTACATGCACAGGCTTCAGAGCCTTGAAGGATCAAATGGACGCGCAGAAGTCGCGGGTAGCAACGCCGGGGGTTTCCCCGCGTGGTCAGATAATGAAGAACTTCGGAGAAGGCACACGGTTATTTTGGTCGAGGGCGAGGTTGGGTCGCGCATTGGCATTTGATTCTCGACATGACGTGACGGAGCCTCTGGTCCAAAGATAGCGAACGGGCTGAATCATCGAAAGTAGCCTTTGAAGGCGGCCGGATTAACAACTTCAGGAATCGGTTGCCCACCATTGGGTCGCGTCCATATGTTTCGCTTCGTGGCGATCGCGACGTATCGACGCTGCTGGTCTGACAAACCGAAATCGAGCACGCTGCACGAGTGCTTGACTGCGGAAAAGACGCCGAGATGCGCATTGGAAGCAGTCGATGCATTGATGCAAGGCCTGAGTCATGCCTGGCTTGACCGACGACTCGTATTCGCCTGTACAAACCTGTCTTCCAGCCATCTCTAGGCGACAAGCGTCAGATCGCAAAAACATGAGTGAAAGCATGGGGTCATGCATGGGAGGCCCTCTACCGCTTGCCGGAGTCATTCGGGCTCCACCTCAGTTACCACCGCCATCACCCGGTTGCACCCCCGCGGGGGTCCTCCTGGGTACCCTCAGACGTAGCTCTGAGGGTACCTAACAGGTACCCCCCTGCGGGGCCCGCGGGGGGGATTTGGTCCATTTGGGGGCGGGGGCATATGCGGGGGTCAGCAGGGGGGGGTCTGTACATGTCATGTGATTTATCATTGGGAGCGGGCAGGTGGGCGCGAAAAAAAAAATGAATCACATGACACATCCAATGGGCGGGATGGCGGCTGATGGCGGGGTAAAAAAATCACGTAATGCACCGCATGAAAATTATCAAAAATGGCTAGCAGGGGTTGGCGGGGGTTGGCGGGGGCGCTACTGGCCCCCCGCACACCATGGCGGGCAGTGGGCGCATTATCACGTGACTTTTGGGGCACCTTTTGTGCACCATTCGGCATGATTTCGGAGGTGTTGCTTGATCCATTGCATGCTGTGGCAGACAATGGGCGCATAATCACGTGATTTTCCGCCCAAAAAAATGGAAGCCTTCCCCAAATCATCCTGGTATCATTTCTATCGGTAAATACACTAGTTAAGCATGAATTTGAGCTTAGAAAGCCCAAAATGCACCCTGCACAATGGGACTGGTGATGCACTTGATCCCATCATTTGGCGGGGTCTGCTGCGGGGGGTGCCACGGGGGGTGCTGCGGGGGGTGCTGCGGGGGGTGCCGCAGGGGGTGCCACAAGGGGTGCCGCAGGGGGTGCCGCAGGGCCCGCTGTGGGGTCAACCACAGGAGCAGGGGTAGGGGTGCATTGCATCATATTTTGATCTATCTATTCTCGCTGTGGTCATAGCATGCAGCATAATTATCCTTCATTTTGCCAGGAGTTTGGAGGCTGTGTCTGGGGTTGGTCTGCAGCTACAGCCATGTGACTCCCTGATGCTTCGGCAGGGGCTGGGATATCAAAACTGTGCAATATTGTCTGCATAATCCAGGCATGTAGGGTTAAAAAGAAAGTGTGATTTGTTCATTTTTTGGCTGGCAGGGTAGGTGGGCTGACATCATGGGCTGCATCGGGTCCACTGTCAACTCATTGATTGTTTCGTCTGCTCATTCTATACACATGCCCATTGGTAAGCTGATCATGCTGTAGGCACAGTCTAATCTTACCCAGTGGATAATACCATACGTTAATTATGCACCTAATGTCACACTTCCTGTCTGGGACTCATTGAAGTTCATCTGTTCTGTGTTACTTTACAAGCAGTTTGCTTTAGTTGCAACATGAACAGATGTAATAGAGTGGATTTGACATGCCCTGAATTGATTCCTAGGTGGAATATGAGACAATGGATTCACCAGCAAGTTGCCTCACAATAGTCAGAGATTGGTAATATTTGAATTTCAAATTTCATATACAACACTCTGTGCACTCAGAACTCGTATATTTGCAAGATAGACTGTAGAGACATAGATGGTTACTTTTACTACCTCTGGGGCTGCACACATCCTTGCCATGACCCACTGCCTGCACCCCTGCTGGTACCCCCATTGGCACCCCCGCCGGCACCCCTGTTGGCACCCCCGCCGGCACCCCCGCTGGCACCCCCGCCAGTCTAGCACCCCCCGCTGCACCGGTGCCTTGTCCCCGTGATTTTCTTATATGTAAGATTATGTAAACTGACAGCTCGGAACACGTCAAGTCACTAGCCAATCAGAACCTGTATAAACGTCGTACCTAAGTGTTTACTGCTCTTCTAACACTGTTCCTACAGTTATGCAGCTGAAAACCATCGGAATAAGGTCTCCTTCTGCTATTCTTATTGAATATGTAGATACTTCATATCATTTGTCCACCTAAAATTCGAAACATGAAAAGAGTTCACCATTGCTCAAGGTTCCTATGTAGACAATGGTTCAACATGGTTCACTTTGGGTATGGCAAAAAATATTTTTTCTACACACAAGCAATTCAATACAGCTGAATGATATACTCTTTGGCAGTGTCTGAAACAAATTCTGAGAGCCCTGGACCCTGGAACTATTCAAAAACTTGAAATGAGTCCGAAAAATAGGGTCTTGATAAACATGAGATATGGGCTGGTTTGAAGAGACATGGGCCACCGGTCATGTTGAATATAGTATTTTACAATGTTTCGGTGCCCTACCTCTCATCACATGGCCTCATTTCCTACTAAAAAGGGTGCATACACACTCAAGCTCATAAAATCAATTGTCACCCAGAAACAAGAGCAGTGAAGTTGTTTCACTGGGATTGGGTAAAGGTTACCTAGAAGTCACTTGGGTTGCAGTACAGAAGCTTTGGACAGTGATTTTGTAGTTGATCCACATTTGGTAGGCTGGCAGATGCTTGTGCACCCCCACGGCACCCCCCGTGGCACCCCCCGCGGCACCCCCTGTGGTTGACCCCCCCCCAACCCCTGCAAGGATTTAATTGACAAATGTCCTGCTCAATCCATTGTAAGAGTCTACAGTATTATTGGATTCAGTAAAGGGCCCAAATGGTGTGTAGACAAGAAGTATGAAATCCGGAAATCAACAATTATGACACCTCCACGGAATATGCTGCAAATGGAGAGAAAAATTTGAGTGCAGACAGACTACCTGAAGCAAACAGACAGAGAAAAGAAACATTAGCCATTTCTTGTTGATGATGTTGGCTGTCCCTGGAGCATGTACTTGGGAGATTTGCCTAACAAATCAAGTTGCACATTTTTCAAATTTTTAGTTTGACCTGACAGCTTGAGCAGACCATGCTAAAATGAACCAAGTCATATATATCAGTGCCCCAAGCCAAGCCAAAAGATTTAGGTAAATTTGCACAGTTTTGATATCCCAGCCCCTGCCGAAGCATCAGGGAGTCACATGGCTGTAGCTGCAGACCAACCCCAGACACAGCCTCCAAACTCCTGGCAAAATGAAGGATAATTATGCTGCATGCTATGACCACAGCGAGAATAGATAGATCAAAATATGATGCAATGCACCCCTACCCCTGCTCCTGTGGTTGACCCCACAGCGGGCCCTGCGGCACCCCCTGCGGCACCCCTTGTGGCACCCCCTGCGGCACCCCCCGCAGCACCCCCCGCAGCACCCCCCGTGGCACCCCCCGCAGCAGACCCCGCCAAATGATGGGATCAAGTGCATCACCAGTCCCATTGTGCAGGGTGCATTTTGGGCTTTCTAAGCTCAAATTCATGCTTAACTAGTGTATTTACCGATAGAAATGATACCAGGATGATTTGGGGAAGGCTTCCATTTTTTTGGGCGGAAAATCACGTGATTATGCGCCCATTGTCTGCCACAGCATGCAATGGATCAAGCAACACCTCCGAAATCATGCCGAATGGTGCACAAAAGGTGCCCCAAAAGTCACGTGATAATGCGCCCACTGCCCGCCATGGTGTGCGGGGGGCCAGTAGCGCCCCCGCCAACCCCCGCCAACCCCCGCCAACCCCTGCTAGCCATTTTTGATAATTTTCATGCGGTGCATTACGTGATTTTTTTACCCCGCCATCAGCCGCCATCCCGCCCATTGGATGTGTCATGTGATTCATTTTTTTTTTCGCGCCCACCTGCCCGCTCCCAATGATAAATCACATGACATGTACAGACCCCCCCTGCTGACCCCCGCATATGCCCCCGCCCCCAAATGGACCAAATCCCCCCCGCGGGCCCCGCAGGGGGGTACCTGTTAGGTACCCTCAGAGCTACGTCTGAGGGTACCCAGGAGGACCCCCGCGGGGGTGCAACCGGGTGATGGCGGTGGTAACTGAGGTGTCGGGCTCCGGCGCTCGCTCACTCGTATACACACCCAGCACTTTCTCCGTAGCTACTAGCATGGAGGATGCTGGAATCTTGATCGCGATCACAACGCCTATCCGATTGGCCCCTCTCGAGTTCGGACAAATCGCCTCATGGCACGTCCCCCTCGCGCTAAGTTTGGGGTCAGCTAATGTATATGCGCCGACATCCCACGGGGTCTTCGCCGTCGTTCAAAGCGTGAACACACATCTCAGATCATGATCCGTCGAGTTGCGACTCCAGTGG